ACCCCCGTTGGACGCACCATTGGACTGCAGGACGGTCGCCGTCCAGGACACCGAGGCTCCTGAATATCAGCGCGAGAGGAAACCATCACCTGGCGCCGATGTCCGGTTGAAAAAGGGGTCTTAGGAGAGACCCTCAGAAGGGCTTAGGGTCCAGGACCATCCGTTGCGTCCAGAAGTCCAGACGGCCCCCGCAGTTCGACCATTGGAAGTACCAGGTCACCTCTGGTCGGCCATCCGAAAAGGAGGTAGCTGAATCCTATGGGCTTCTTCCGTAGGTGGTCAGGGCCCCGCCCCAATGTAGATGGGTGCGGGCAAACCAAGTCCGGGGTTGACGAAGAACTGCTCATGATGGAAGCCAAGTGAAATGCAGCTTTCACTTTGCGGTTGTTCAAACAGCTGGATCCCACTGATTCCCAGCAACCTCCATCGCTATGACCCTCCAATTGGCCAGAAAGAAGTCTGTGATTCTTATGGATCTTTTGTGTTGTGATAGTGAACCTGCGCCACCTGGAAGTCCTTGTACGCCGAGTTTCTGGGGAATACAAGGACTAGGAGGATCCGGACATCACGGAGGAGCCAGAGTGTTTTCGATGGGTCTTTTGTGTGATCATCGATATCTGTGGCCCAGACATGGTGCAACGTGTTCTGCAGCAACGTGTTGGTTTGGTTTGGTGTTGTTCACGTGTTTGCAGAACACAACGGGATATGCCTACTCGACGGTCTGCTTCTTTCAACCTACCAAAGCTGGACCAGGAGATCGGTAAGCTCGTTTCAAGTTGTGTCGACACGTGAAGTTTTAGAAAAAAGGGTTGCGGTCTGCTTCTTCCCACTGGTCCTTGAACTATTGAAACCTCTACAAACTATCCCTGGTAAAGGAGCTATATAATCCACTGGTCGAATTACCACGAAATACGTTTGACTATCTTTCTGATTGGAAACGTCTCCGAAGCTTAACCACAGGACAGGTCCTCCGCCCACGTCGGACCGCACCATGTTCCGCCCTCACTGGATCTGGTCTCTCTCAAGAGAGGCAAGTCAAAGCCTGAAGATTGATCGTTTTTTTTGTCTTTTCACCCTGGAAGATGAAAATGGAACCTGAGAACCACCGGGTTGTAGAGTAAACAGTCTTCCAAAGGTCCATGCCATCAGGTCCCATGTGAAGACAACACATGTGTAAGGTTTTGCGAACCAGTTTGGTCGAAAACACATTCACAGGACAGGTCCAGGCTCGGGGACAGTCTACCAGGTCTACCAGGTCTCAATCCCATGGGCCACATGGCTGGATGACCCTCCGGATCTCTAGCCAGGACATCCAAAACAAGATGGTCCAGGTATGGAATATGATGTAGGAAGCACCCTTCCGAGCTGCGTAGCTAGCCGTTTTCTGGGCGTAGCTAGCTTTCCTAAGGCATCCAACGACTCCAACGAAGGCTGCACAGACGCGACTTGGAGGGCGTCCGGGAGACCGGGACCAAATAGCACATCTTCCTCCATGGACCCCAGGGAATTGAACCATAGGGAAAATAACAATCACCCAATCACCTTAAGCAAAACCAGGACTATAACAATCATGACTGTGATATTGCTGGTTTCGATATTCAACCACATATAATAGGTTTCGAGGTCTGATTCCTTCGTAAGGTCACATCGAAGACCAAAAACACTGAAATGGGAAAACAACCGCCAAATGACGAAGAAAGCACACTCTTTTGAGTGGATGCCCCTTGTTGAAGATCCGTTTCACATAGACTTCACGCGCTTCAACCAAGCTCGACAAACACTTCGCGCAAGAGGCTACCCTGATGTCAGAAGACCTTCGTGTTCTCACATGTTCACACTAATTGTCACTTCACACCTTTATGCCGGCAACATAATTCAGGGAAGGGTGCTTGGTTGCGACCCCAAATCCTGCCATCATCTTCAGTCAGGGTTTGCATGGGATGATTTGCGAAAATTGACATCGACGGCCCCAAATTCAGAAAACTGTTGATGTGTCTTTAAGCTCCCTTTCTCGATCTTTGGATCTTGTTCTTAGGAAAGCATGTTGTCTTTCCAAAAAGGGAAACTAGGCTTTCAAGATCGACCAAGCACCATGGATGGAAAATAGCCGGGTCATCCCCAACCACTAGCTGTTTCACAAAGGAGTTTACAAACTACAAAAAACAGGTCAACCAAGTTTTAAATAGTCGAACAAAAGGCTAGGGAAAGAACAAACTATATAATTATGATCAAACATCAATCTTCTTCATGGCTTTGAAGGATGACTCAAGCATTTTTTGCAAGGTTCATCCTCAAAAGTGCCTTCTGCAAGAGATGTCCATGATGAGCGGGTGTGTGGGGGGGGGGACACCAAAGTCACACCGTACCCGGCAGCAATTTGCAGCAAGTTGTAGGAACGTCTGGATCTGAAAACTCTTGGTTTGGCTGTGTTCGGGCTAGGCTTCCACCGGATGTTTCTCACAAGATGTGTTTCTCAACCCAGATCAGGGTGACCGGGTGAACAAAAGGAAAAGGACGTCTGTGACAATCCGTCACACGGGTGTAGCGACCTAGACATGGGGAGACTGAACCCGGCGTAGCATCAGAAAGGTTCGGATAGACCCAAAGCTGGCTGGGAGGTCATATGAGAATACACCCTGATAGCTTCTAGCTTTTGTAGTAGCTTCTTGCGACTAGTAGTCATGGCCTCCAACCTACTTGCGATGGCCTCCACCGAGCATAGCGTCCCAAGTTCTTCTTCACATGCACCGACATTGCACGACCCACACGTCATGAAACCCAATTGGTCGGACCTTGGTCGGATCTGCGTACTCGCTGCCAGGTACTCGCCACAGGCTTCAGCGAAACAATGTGAGTCCGCTGTGGATCGTGTCGTTTGCGGATCAAGTTCACTGATCGTAAGTGGGACCGGTGTACTCCGGTCTGTTTAATTCAAAGGCGGGGTCTTGTTGTTGTTTTAAGCGTAATTATACTATACTCCATATGTCTTTTTGCTGTCCCATCTTTGAGCTGGACCCAGTCATCTCCGCTTCTGGAAAAACGATCCACTTCAAAGCACCTTCGCATCTGCACTGATCTGGGATCTGCTGACTCCGTCGTCAGCCCCAGTTTGTGAACTCTTTAAGAAGCTCCACGCGACCGGACGGCCGAAGGAACCAAACACCGATATTTGAATCGTCAAGCTGAAAAGCCCGGCAACGGTGGGCTCCGCGTGGGTTCGTCGCGGTGCGTCGTGTTCGGATTTGTTTTGTTTTTTTTTGGTCGGCCGTCAGGAGCTGCTTCAATTGGACCCAGTTCAAGCTGCTTTGCAGGAACCGAGGAGGACAACAGTGTTCATCTGAAATAGAATGTCCATGTCGGCCATGTCTCCTGTTGTTTCCATCAGCCACAAACTGACGAAAGTTACAAGCATCATTCTGATCATTCTGAATAGGTATTCGTCTCTGATCGAAGAGCGAACTCTTACTTAATCCTAAGCAGTAGTATTGCCTCATACTTGATCATGTCCCTTCCCAAAAAAAACACACACAGCAAAATCGGTGGACCGAGAGCAACATGCCCCAAATGGGCCGTGCTATCGGCGCTCGGTGGGACATGGCGAGGACATTTCATCGTTCTCAGCCAGAAGCGACTGTCCACCTCTTCACTTTATTGGACCTGAGTAGTGAAACATCCCCCAATAAAGGCCAGTGGTTGACGTAAGAATTCAGACAGAATGGGAGGTCTTCTTTTTGGGGGTCAGGCTCTGAAATGTCCTTTAGAGATCAAGCTGTTTGTACCTGGATGCTCATGAAATCTTATGTCGTTCCAAAAAAGTTCGTGGAGTGGCGCAATGTTTAGGCTCTCGCCAAAGGATTAACGTATAGTTTCGCCTGATTTGTCCGTCCTCTTTCAAGAGTGGCTGTTGTTTTCCATGCAAATCATCCACAAAAACCGGCACTTTGGCCATGAATGGCCCGATGACAACGTCGAAACACCCGCCTTGAGATGGAATGAAAACTGCTGCATGGTTCCTGCATGGTTCCAGTCTCTCCTGTGCTGGCAGAACCTTCAACGGCATGAAAGGTTCCCTTCATGGTCTTCCCCACAAACGCGCGGACTTCTGAACGAAATGGAGCCGAATGAGGTCACGACAACAGGTTGTGTTTGCTTGGCTTCTAAGTTCCAGCCACTGTAACGAACGAGGACTGGTTGCTTTGTGAACACACCATCCACACCATCCATACCCAACCTACCAAAAACGCGGAACTTTTGAGTGGTTTGTTTCGTTGGTTCGTACCCGAAGAAAGAAGACTCTTTCGGTCGGCTCTGTCTTCCGAAGAAAAACACATGATGTCCTCCACTCCCAGGTGCCAGGCTACCTATGGAACTGGGACACCCATTCCACTCCCAAAGCACACCCTTCCATTCAATGGGTTTCGATGGTAAATGCGTACACATGGACGGCTAAGGACTGGACAATGCATCTTCATCCCAAAGACCACCCAAACAGCTGTGACGAACCTCCTTCTTATCGTGTCATTTGTTACGGTTTGGACCAATGGGTCTATGTGTTTGTTTTGCTTGTCCACAACTGCTACTGAGACTGCTACTGCTGCTGCTGCTGCTGCTGCTAGTACTTTAAATTGTTATTGTACTATACTACTACTTACTACTCCTACTACCTACTACCTACTACCTACCTACTACCTACCCACTACCTACCTACTACCTACCTACTACCTACCTACTACTACCTACTACTACCTACTACTACCTACTACTACCTACTACTACCTACTACTACCTACTACTACCTACTACTACCTACTACTACCTACTACTACCTACTACTACCTACTACTACTGCTACTACTACTACTACTACCTACTACTACTACTACTACTCCTGCTGCTACTACTACTACTACACCTACTACTCCTACTACTACACCTACTACACCTACTACACCTACTCCTACTCCAGGATTCTTCCCAAGGCTTGCGACGAGTTAATCCTGGTCAATGTCAATGGTCAGTAACCAATTCGGCCAACTCCATTCGAGCAAATTCATCAATGTCCCACATGGGACGGTTTACAAACCGCGCGAGTGGGTTCGATCATCGAGCGACCTGGTCTGGTGTCTTCCAAAGAACTCCAGGCCCATGGCCCTGCGGCGATAAACACCTGAAGCCGAAGCCTCTGAAAAACTCAAAAGGGTGCAGTCGTCTCATTTCACTCGGTACAAGCCATTTCGGCTCCAGACTCTCTTGCCATGTTTCCAAAACAAAAACACGGCATGTGAAAATCTGGACGTCCCAACTCAGCGTTGCGCCCAACGCCACGGTCGCGTCGGCCACGTCGCCAAACTTCGAGGTCGCCCGAACCTGAACGGCGAAGCGGTCGGCCTTGTTGGGTCTATCATGGGTGTATAGATCTTCCAACGGTGCGACATTGATGCCTTTTCATCTAGAAAACCCATCCGAGAGGCATGATGATTTCATACGTTGAAAGATCTGATCTATAGGATTCTATAGGTACATGAACTGGTTTGGACCTTCCCACTCTGTGGACGCGGCACCCTTGTATGCGTAGCTACGCATACAAGGGTACGGCGCGTCCGGACGGGTTGGGATCGACTCGTCGATGCGGCGAGATGACGAGGTGTGGGGGTCTCCCCATGCAAATACCCAGACACGACCCGTCTGGGACTGCCAGGACGGACGTGCCTTCCAAACAGCCAGATGTGGTGGCCGGGGGGGGGGGTCTGTCTGGGGTGGCTGTCCGGCAGTCGCAGACCGGGTCGTTTTGGGAGACAGTACCTCGGGAGTCACAGCTGGATGGGCCCTGGAGCACCACCAAACATGGGCAATGGGTGGGTCAGGTCAAAGCTTTGTTTGGTTTTGTTCCGCTCACCTTCGTGCGATTGAGCTTTGTGGTCCTCCCCATCAGCAACTGAAATGGGGAGGGCCGACCGAAGGCATAGAATGTTCGGGCATGGGGCCTAGAGTTAGGGAGCAGCTAAACCATATTAACCTTCCGGCAGGCTATGAAGTTTTGCCGGAATTGAGTCCAATGTCAATTGCTCTGGCTGGAATTTGCTTGGCTGGAATCGGATGGCTGCGGAACAAGAGCAACTATGATCTTCAAACAAAGCAAGCCGTGCAAACAATTCCCAGATCATCTACCAGCTCCCCAAGTTCGGTGGCTTTGGGACACCTCTTAACTCACCTCTTAACTCAGAGGCGATCTCATTAGACCTCAGAAGGAGGGTCCTGGTATATTTATAGCCGTTCTTTTGACCCCGACTTCAACCACCCCAATTGATCGGCAGTCCGGACTGGCCCAGACAAGTCGTGTCTGGGTGCAGTGACATGTGACATGCCAGATGTCCAACAAAACGGTATCCTTTCGTCGGTGGCTCAGCCCCTGCCCCTGACATGGGAAAAAGCACATCGGTTTGAGAGAACTCCCCAAGAGCAGTTCGAAGACTTGATTGCCTTTGTTGAATGCAACCTGGTCATGGTTTAAAGCAAACATATTACATATTGGTATTTTCACGGAACATGTTTTGATGTGTTGACTTCTGAACTTCTGGGTCAATACGTCTGTCAATGATTGTCAAATATATTGTCAATATCAGAGAACTGCTGATCCATCCACCCATCCTATACTCGAAAGAGCCCTCCGGTCAGACAGTTTGGTTCCTGTCGACCCCTTCTGTTTCGGAATGACATGCAGAAAGACCAGAAAGATACCGGGTTTGATTGGAACATCGAAGGAAAGGACCACGGCTCTTCGAAAGCAATGCGCAACATGAACCGTGTAGCTTGACCATGTATGTTGACCATCAAAACAACCTGCTGCTTGTCTGATCCTCTTTCCAACTTCTGAAACCTCTTCACATCCATCCCATCGATGCTGAGTCACTCAAAGAGGTACTTAGTCGATGGGCACGATTGCTCGTGTGAAGGTGCCTAAACGCGTTCCCATGCGTCCCCCGTTGCTGTGGGCACGTCCTGGCCGAGCGGGTGCGGTGCTGCTGCGGTGCTGACTGCCAGCCGGTGCTGACTGCCGGCCATGGGCGGTGGAATGGTCAATGAAAACGGGAACTGACTGCCAGGACTGGATTCTGGATGTGTAGCTCAAAACATGGGAGACCTCCCACGTAAACATCCACACCCTTGGTGTACATCCGACGGTTCTATGGTGATTTTCCCTGAGCAGGTAGAATACATCTAAACACCGCCTGCATAAGGACTGCACGTGGATTGTTTAGCATAGTGTTTAGCATCTATACGTGCTGCGACATATGGGTTTTAGTATTTCTGGGAAGACAGTGGATCTTAGAAGAGAGATCCTTTTTGGGGCAAGCCCCAAAGCCTATCACCTTGGGCCCTTCCCTTCTCCCTCGCGACCTCAGAGCATCCTGCAATGATCGCAGGTAACGATTCCTTTCCAATGAACCGTCACACATTTCATCAGGTTTGCCCTCCTGGTGTTTTTTCCATGGGCTATGGTACTATGATGTACTATGTACCCATACATTCCTATTACCTGTAACAGTCAGTAAACAATTATCACTATTTGAGAGACAGGCCTCCTAGTAGGATCGACCCAACCCACTACAGACCACGTGATGCCTCGTGCCATGGGTTCAAAGCCATCCCAAGTGCACAGACGTGAAGAAGTCTGCACTCGGAGTGTGTGTCTCGGCTCGTGATCCGTCATCGCGACTGGAACAGGTTAGGGACCCAGACTCCCACACGACGTCGGCACATGGGCCACTCCGCTTCCCCACCCCATTTCCTGATCGGCAAGGATGGGTGTGGAGGTGCCGACTAGATGCGCGAAATATGACGTATAAGTATAAGTATATATCCTTATTGTAATTACCTGGAAAGGCGTATGAACACGTTTTTTTTGTGCAAAGACTGTCTTGGACAGTTTAATTAATGAATTAGCATATTTAGCCGTATGGACAAGAAAACAATTCGGCACAAAAGCGTACCCATATGAAACCCAAACTTTATCAACATGTTGACAAAAACCCAAACATTAATCATTAATATTGATAAATCCCAATCAAACCCAATAACACTGAGGAATTCCAGCCGTATTTGTCCATTTGACAAAAAAAGGCCGGATGCACGGATTTTGTGTGCGAATGTGTTTGAACAACAAAAAATGCACATTTGGATTCCCTGGTAGTCATTCCTGTGTCCTAAATGGAACAACAAATGCACCGAAAAACGCACCAAAACAAGCTTAAGAGATGTGAGGAGATGGTCTTGATCAGTCGATCCCCCGTGTCGTAGAGAAATGGTATTCCAAGGGCCTATGTTTCACGTAGCCATGATTATTTCAGGGAGTGTAAGTGAAGCACATATGTTTCAGTATTTTGTCCAACCGAAGCCTTTTGGGAATGGGATGGAATGGGGGTTTTATTGTCTACATTAGACGACGGATTTGTGTCGAACATCTATGGGACTGCAAGAGTTAGCCAACATCCATTGAGAATTCCAACTACAAGATCAACATCCATTTGGATAAGTCAATCCCTCGCTCCGGGGCACACCACAAGTTATTCGTATACGACGTCGGTTCTTCCTCTCGATGCGACGTGACTGAGAACGCGAGACCTCCGGGACTGCGAACCCAGAACCTTCCTTCTGAGGTGTCTAATGAGATCGCCTCGTTTTTTTGGAGGCGATTGCGGGGTGGTTAAGGGGTGTCCGAAAACCACCGAACTTGGAAGGTGCTGGTCTTGTTAAGTCTTTGACAGGGCCGGGACAAGTCTTGCGTCTCTACATGTCGACATACCAGGACAGAAAAACAGGTCCTTGCGTCGCCCAGGTCTGCGCGGACCCTCAAAGGGGTCGGACGTTGCCCCTGGGACCTTTCGACCAGGTGTTTCCCCTGCGTCCACTCTCTTGCCCAGGTTGACGGACGGTCTCCTGGCGTACGAGCTCTTTGGAAGGTATTGAAGATGAGCCTTGGATCTGCCCCGCGGGCCCGGCCCGAGCTGCTTTGGCTGGCGTTCAGGTGGAATGAGGAGGGGAAGGTCCCCTGCACAAGCTCCCAAACGTTTTGGTCCAATTGGAAGGGTAGGGCCCCTGGCCCAACGGAAGGGTAGGACGGGAAGGGCCCCTACCCTGCACAAGCTCCCTTCTTTTTTGTCTTTGGAAGGGTTTTTTTCCCTGGCCCAACGTACAGCTAGGATCATGTACGATCCCTTGGTCGACCCTACCCTAGGTCGACGATACCTCCGTCTGGGCGGGAGTTCTGTATGGGCTTTGGGAAAAACTTCAACAAAGGTCTGTTCAAGGAGGATCACAGTTGTGACAACTTTCTCTGAAATCTTTGGGTCCCAAGATGCAAAACGATTAAACATGTTTCATTGGAAGATGTCCCATTTCACTGTGAAGGTATCCCAGGGCATCCAGTTACCACCATAGTTGGTAACCAGTGGTTCCAAAGACTAAAACCATAGACCCAGAATCCCTGGTTCCTTATATAAGTGGTAACTGGCATGCACTGGGTATTGTAGACCTTATGTCCCCAAGTGATCACTGGAGCATCTGGGATTGCCAAAAAAACTCTGGACTCTGACCTCGACCGCGCCAGAGGTCTTGCACTTCTGGTTGTCGATCCAAATGCCACAAATCCTCAGCAGTAGCGAGTGCCACTTTTGAGTCGTACAGGAGGAATCCTGAGAACTGCTAGAACTGCTACTAGATCTAGAAGCAGTTCTCAAGTAGCTGAGAAATGTGAGCCGCAAAGGTTCCTTGAAGCTCCCTCTGGCGCGAACGCGCACGTTTTGGTCGGTCGATAAGGAGCTGCTTCTGAGAAGCAAATTCGTTGGCGCCAGTGTATTTTTGGGTGGATCGTCTGAAGTCAGGAGCCTGACATGTGTGAGCATAGCCTTTGAGGCTTGGTGGGTGAACACAGCTTCCCGGGGGCCTCTCACGCAAATCTCGCGGGGAGGATTCCCAAATGGATCCAGCAAAAAGTCCGGAGCCCCGTAAATTGGATGGAAGTAATAGGCTCGGCTCGTGCTCTTCCATGCTGGAAGCACATGGCGAGCTTGCCAGTTCCTATCTGCCGGGCTGCCTTTTCCATCGCATTTACAGTGGTTTCAGAGAAGATGGCACAATCCCCCAAAAGGGTGTTTTAAATAGTTCATAATGATGCTGAATGGACCCCCCATATCAACGACATCTGGGGGGGTTGTGCCTACTCTGAAACCGCAAATTTCCATGGTATAAGAGTGGGTATCGATATGGCAATGGTGTGTCTTGACATTCAGTCGCTAGAGAACATCCTGTCCTTGGGTGGACCTTGACGTAAAAGAGGAGACCTGTGGATCCCTTCCGGTCAATTGACAAACAGTCCCACACCAAGAAAATACCTAGTTTGCACATGCTTGCACACACACAATCAATCAAGGACAAGGATCCGAATCACTACTCCTTTAAAGACTCTTCGGAACTTGTGTGAAGTTTTGGAGAGAGGATCTGCAAGCATCACAAACACAGCGACCCAAAAGGATTGTCTTCTTGAGAACCATCCAAACTCACTGCGAACTTCAAACAAATGATCCCAGTTGTGGATGCTCAAAGATGAAGGATCTCAATGTGTTTTTCACCAACCCCGGCCCCCATGGTTTTCACCGCACCCTTGACTTCTCCGCACAGCCCTCCGCGACACTTCCTCCCTCCAAGCAACCGACCAAGTTTCCTGGTGATTCGATTGACCGTGTCGACTGGATCCGAGATTCGATTGGACTCGAACTCCAAATCAACTTCACCTTCAAACAAACATACCCAGACACGACCCATGGAACTGCCATATACCTGGACCCTCCTGTCGGGGTGTCCTGGCTGGACTACCCCACACTACCTATCGGCTTCCAGACAGGGCACCCCTGGGAGGGTCCTGGTATGCATATACATTGACCCCCCAAAACCACCCCAACTGATCGCCATATATGGCAGTCCCATGGATCATTGTGTCTGGGATATGCAATCTGGACTGACTTCACGAAGTGGATGGCGCACCCTGTTCCGTCCAGAGCCGTCCTCCGGACATCCGGTTCAAAACCGCATCCACGGTCTCGATGGTAGACTTGCGGTCGTGTCTGGGTCGAGTCGCCAAGTTTTGTCTGGGCATCTGCCTGGAACTGTGCACAACATATCACTACAGTCGCTAATTACTGATATATGACCCAGCAGTGTCACGTTGAAGATTTGGAGCTATAAGATCTTCTTTACGTGTTTGTTGGTCCAATCTGTCGAATCCAACAGTATCGTAGAGTTGCACATGCAAAAGTTGATTTTGATTCCAGGAGATGATAGGTGGGCAGGTGGGCTTTTAAGGGTTCCTAGACCAACCGAACATTTCTGAGAGATATTATCTGTGGAGGCCGCGGATAATGTGTTCCCTCTGTGAGGTCTTGGATAGCGAAGCTGCTGAATGGTTGGAACTGTGTTTCAACTCTGAGGTTGGGCTCAACACCTTCGCGCAAAGCAGCTTGTGCAGGCTCAACACCTTAAAGCCAATAGAAACCTCTGTCAGGGCTCCAAAACGGTGCTTGTCATACCACTCCCAATCCATCCGTGGTGACATCAAGGCCTTGAACCGCCGGACGATGCGTTTTCATGTGTGTTTTTTCTCCTCTATGTGTAGGGCAGTGACATACTCCCGGGCGTAGGTGGTGCCCAACTTCTGTGTGACGCGGCTGCCTCACAAAAGGCGAGCGCGAGGCGGCAGGCTGGCGGCCGTGGTGTCACCAACGAACCATCCCCGACCCTGAGCCCTGGTTGAAGGTGTTTCTTGCTTTTCACAAGTTCCACTGCCAGGTGGGAATGGAATCAGTTGAACTGGGGGAATCAAAACCCGAAGGCGCGGCGCCTTTCACGGGAAGCTTCACGTTCCTGTGGGAAAAAGACTGGATGACCCCCTCGGCTTTGACCCATAGCCATGGTCCAAGTACTTGATCCAAAGCGATGGGACCACGAACGGCCGGAGCCACCGGTTACGCACTGAAAACCACTCTACTATCGACTCTTTCTGTCATGACTCTGCCAGCTTGGAAGCAAGTGCACTGCCAGCTTTTTTTGTGCAACGTGATATACAGTTCTGGAAAAAGAATCTCCACACTCTACCCTGAACATACTGAGCTTCTTGTGGAGCTTCTTGTGTACCACGCGGAATCCACTTCTGCTGTATGAAAATTGTGTATTTCTGCAATATGTTCAGGGTGTAAAGAGCAGGTGGTGCAGGATTTCTCCTCAGAGAGTATGGAACCAGGCACACTACTATGTCTTGGGTGGATAGGGTTCCAATAATGAATCGAATCATGCCCTGGCTTAAAAGAAAGGATCTTGCAGGCCTTTGTAGGCAAAACCTTGAGGTATTTAGCACATGATAGCTTCAAGACAGGGTACAAATTCTCCTGTTCTTGCTCGAGAAGTCAATGTTTTATCTGCAAAATGACCCAAAACTCAGGTTTTGGATGTTCTACTCAGAGTTCTACTCCATTCTGATGCTTAATTTACCTGTGATGTTTAACACCACCTGAGATTCATTTCTGTCATAGCTCGGCCCTAAATCGCATCGCGCCTGAGAGGGTCTCGCAAAAGCTCTCCATGTCAAGAACCAACAGTTGGGAGACGGAGTCGGCCACCAAATCGCCCACGTAGTACCATTCAGTCCACAAGCACATCCTGAGTGTGATCGAGATGACTGAAATGGACGGGGAACCCGTACCCGATTCTTGCTCAGCTACACTGCACTGGAGAAAAATGGAGCCACCACGAACTTCCTTCGCTACAAAATTATTGCCTCCCTCTATGTGCCATACATAGACTGGCATCTCGAGCACTTTTCATGTTTTGTACAGGGACCTTCTCCTCCAGTTATGGCTGCCCAGGGGGCAGGCTGGATGTCCTTTGATTGTTTGCGACCGATCTTCACAACCCACAATTCATCGGTGTTGAGAGGTAGGGGAGTTCTGGTTTTTCAGGGAAGTGGTGCCACATTATCGTGTTTGGACGTGTTATCTGCTGGCCCTGCCCTCTCCAGTGTTCTCCAATCGATTGATCTTGATATATCTTGATTACCTTCACTCCAACGCGGACACAAATCGATCACAAATCGATCACAACGACATGATGATGGCTTGACCTTACAGCTGGTCCTCCTTACTTTCACCCTTCCCCTGTTTGAGCCACTAGGAGACCCGGCTCTGCCGCCCACTTCACACAAGGGATGTGCTCCTGGCTTTCCTGCAAGTAACCTCAGCCAGCGAACTGTCTTGGACAAACACGAGTCATCGATCAACGTACCCCATACACTCCATGTATGGAATATATACCTACATTGACCCCCCCTGGCACCACCCCAACTGATCGGCATATATGCCAGTCCCATGGAGTGTATGGGCTACGTTCTCCGTTTCGCACGGTGCCCGTACGCGCCGGTTGCTCCGTGGTGCTTTCTAGTCCAGAAGAGTTCCTAAAACATGAAGCGTTGTGAAAACAACAGCGAAGCCCAAAAGGCCTTGCAAACATAATCTTGCTATCCAAACCTTCCATGGAATACGATGAGTCATTGTCACTTGCGGAGTGATACATGAGGTAATGTGTATTATAGATCCTATAACAGTCCCATGGATGGTCTGGGTATACCAAGCTCTCGTCCAATTCACCGCTTGGAGCTCCCAGTTCGGACCTCCGACTCCGCGCCAGGCGGGGTCTCTTCGGGCACACCGAACCAGAGCGAACCGGCCTGGCGGGTTTCCACCAAAGAGGTACCAAAGGCCAAACAAGAAAAGAACACCCAACAAAAATAACAGGTTTCTCTTGAACAAACACATAGAAGAACAGGTTTCTCTTGTGTGTTTGCTGAAACAGGCGCTGTGATTTGATCCGTTCGTAGCAGCATCTTGCTATACGTTCGCAAGGTATCCGGAAGCGCCCCCCCCCTTCGGACCGCAGCGGAGCGCCTCTCCGAAGCTGCAAAGCGATGCCCCGTACTTGTGACGTAGCGACGAGCTTCTTTGCTACAATACCTATATACCCTAGAAGTCCAAAGACTATATATTTTGACCGGCTGAAGTAAAGGAAGTTCCCTTTCAGGTCCCCTAAATTGACCATTCTGAATTCTTTTTATAGTCTTTGACTCCCAGGGTATATAGGAGTAATGGCCCACCCTAGTAGCGATGGCCTCCACCCTGGTAGTTTCTTGCTATTTGCGATCTTTATAGGGACTCTATAGCACCGCCAGGGATCGATCGACCAACACATTACGTTGAGTTTTTTGTCGGTTCTCCTTTTGAATGACCTGAAGGAGGATGAAGCTAAAAGACCCGGCGTAGACTCGCGAACGCTCAAATCCGAGAAGCTTAAAGACCCGGAGACGGGTAAATAGCATGACAAAGCTTCCATGCCAAAGCGAAAGACCACATCCTGAAGCCGCGGAACGCCCGGTTCCACCACGGAGCTTCCGAGATCGGCCGGAACGGCTGACGGTTCAGCTGAAAAACTCGGAACATGCAAGTGGCCGCCATGGCCCCCAGGTGTTTTTGGAGGAAAGTCGTCTTGCAATGGAGCATGTTCCACCAAACATTGCTTGTGAGTCAGAGTGTACATTCGAGAATTTGAATTGGTTTGAGGGAACATACATCTACAGTAAACCCCATATAGTTGTGGATCGAACACCATCGTTTCCTTTAGATCTTGCCTTTTAACCAAGGGAAAATATACTATTACCACCCAAAGCAATGCCATCTGAGGTCGGTGTCTCATCTTACATGGTCGATGCCACAAGGTTCATCGCAGTTTTACGAGCGGCATGTGAATAATCACCTCAAGCAATACCCAGACACGACCCATGGGACTGCCATAGGACTGCCGATCAGTTGGGGTGGTTTTGGGGGTCAATGGGGCGGCATATATGGCAGTCGCATGGAGTGTCCGGGATATCCGTTGATATGGCCAATTCGCAACAAGAATGGGCGAAATCGAGATGTCAATGAGCTATTCGATCGATCGCTTCATGCAGCTCGCGGTCTCACCAGGCTACTTATGATGGATTTATAAGAAAACAAGAACATGTCACACCCATGTTATCTCGGATTCGTCCAAGGTGGCCAGGTATGAGTGGCGCCACGTCACGATGTCTACGTCTGCCAGCGGATCCGAACTTGTCATATCCAAGTCCTATAGTTTCTAAGCAAAATACGACCAATCACAGAGCAGAAATGTTTGGATTTTAATGTTCCTCGAAGCGTTCTCTCCAAATTTCGGGACATGCCCTTTGAAAGAACCTTCCGGGAAACAAGGAATTCATGTGAAAGCGTTAAAAAACAAAAAAAACGTCTGCTTGGGATATCTCCTCGTTTTGCAATGGGGCTTTCGAGCTTTCACACTACTCTTCAGCCTTAGCAGGAGCACATCAGCAGCTTCCTTAGTTACCGCAACATCGGGGTTCGGTTGGAGGCCATCGCAAGCTTGGGTTAGTAACCCCTCATCAACCCCCAGCCACAGCACGGTCGATGGGACTGCATGTTCACCTATATACACTGGGGATCCTTGAAGATCATTGACCTGGGGTTAATGGGGATCCTTGGCATAACCTGAGATTCCAACCTCTTCCAACCACCTGTTGGTTGTCTCCGGCACCCTGAATCAGTCAGAACCCTTAGTTACTTTACGAAGGATGCACTACTAAAACCAGGTCAACCAATACAATTTTAAGGGTCATTTTGAAGGCGAACAGGCCGGATCGATTCTCTGGAACCCTCTTCAGGTCTTCATCGCCCTTAGACCAGGCATGAGTCCCGCGCGTTCAGCCCGCTTGTGTGGCGTTCAGCCCGCGTTCGGGTTGCGGGCCCAGCCTTGGTTCCCAAGGTGGTATTGCTGATGGCGCCCGTCGCCAGCAGTTGCATCACATCCAGGATCTGCACACTGTCACCTTCCCAGCTGGGAAGAGCTTTTGGCCCTGGCTGGGTAGACTGCCTCTATTTTCCGAACCGAACCCTGGGAGGGTTTCTGGGTTCTTTCCTTTCCCTGAAACACATCCATCATATGGTTCTCACCGAAGGACTGGGTAGACTGGTCTTAACGCTGTCTGGATCTCAACCGGTGGCGACTCCAATCCGACCGCCATGCGATCAAACTGTCCCATGGATGGGCGGCAACGTTTGAAGGACACATGTATACTTGGTTCTTCAAAGTGACCATGTTGAGGTCATTTGCGCCTGTAAAAGGACTTGGGCTTAGGGACTCAAAGAAAGGTCACACTTTGAAGAAGCTGGTAGGTCATTTTTACATTGCAAATTTGGGAATCCGACCGCTGTCACGTGAGCACCATGTCCGCATGTCAATATTTGAGATTATTTTTCTGGTCAGGGGTGAACCTCACGATCCGTGTAGAAGTGGAATCGGTGCTTTGGGGACTCAGGTTTGGTCGGGGGGGAGTGGCGTTTGGTCAATCCACCTCTTCCAGGGCGCCCAACTCGTCCAGGGCGCCCAACCCCCACCACCTTGGCCTACAGTCCTATAGTGGATCAGGTGACCTGTGATAACATGCCCATGAAGAGGGGATCAAAACATGGTTGAGCAGTAGAGGTCGTGCAACTGCTAGGTGCATGGGTTGCTGGCTTCATGCAAATTCACGCTCTCCCAGCTCCGCTCTGCTCTCCCAGCTCCAGCAACAAAAACCAAAGAATTGATGTTCGATCGCCAACCACCTGTAGATGAGCGCATCATGTCTTAGAAAAGATTGACGAAGGTAACCATCGAAATACCTCCCATACACTCCATGGGACTGGAATATATGCCGCCCCATTGACCCCCCCAAACCACCACCCCAACTGATCGGCATATATGCCAGTCCCATGGAGTGTATGGGCCTGACACAAAGGTTTCTCAGAACGTGTACACCGGACCGTCTCACCGGACCGTCTCGACTCTCGACCCTGTTTCGACCGTCAAACCAATCGCTGGTGTTCACTCGCACGACACTCTATATAAGAATACTGGCTGGTTCTAAAAACATGACCATGATGCAAAACCAAACCAAACCACAGTGCAAGTTTACTGCATGGCTTGCAGCTTGTTGCCTCTTCACATGTCCAGAACTTGAAACAGAACCATCACACCAAGTCACTGTGTAGTAAGGCCGCAACAAAGTCCATCCGCACCATGCTACCGCGGTACTTCTCCTCAGCCGAGGGCGGGCGCCACTTCACTCGTTCCCTCATTCATCCGGACCGCGTCTTCAGACAGCGCATGCTTTCGACATGGAGACATGCTTTCGATATGGTGGTCCCCAAATAGATAGTGGCACGGCTTCCAATACCTTTTGAAAGGCCATGTTACTTTGCTATCGATGTATGGGAGGTCTGAGGTCTGTGGGTACCATGGCAACACCACTGGCACCCCAAAAGGGAAAAAATCACATCCAACAGTGCTTGGAATCCCTCTGTGAGCCACGTACACCTTCATGCAGGATTCCCGACACCCAACGGACAATTCGACTCTCAGAATTTTTGCCTTAAATGTTTTCAATCCTCTGGATTTGCGCCAAGTCCTTCAGGGGGTCATACACAATTCCATTAAAATCCACATGAATGCACTAAAGCTGCTGTACACCCTGGGTACGTCGGTTGGTGGTCCCAAAACACACAGTGTCACACGCACAACTCGACTCATCACCCATCCTTTCCTAGTCCACGCATGTTGCTTTGTTTGTTGTTGATGCTTGTTGCTTGTTGCTTGTTGCTTGCCGTTTGCCGCTTGCCGCTTGCCGCTTGTTGCTTGTTGCTTGTTGCTTGCCGGTTGCCGCTTGTTGCTTTTGTTGCTTTTGTTGCTTTTGTTGCTTTTGTTGCTTTTGTTGTTGTTGTTGTTGTTGTTGTTGTTGTTGTTGTTGTTCGCCCCCTCCGGGCGTTTTTTCCAAACACAAAGCGAGTCACCAGCTGCAACTCGCCCCTCAAAGGCTTGGACAAGAGGTCCAGCAATTCCACATGTGAATCCGACACCATGGCCTCGACGACGGACGACTTCGACGACTTCGTCGACCGCGGCCCGGTGACGAGTTGTGATCCGGAAGTGTATTGAGTCAGGTTGACGGTTGAAACCAGAAAACACCAGAAAACACAAAACAAACAAATCAAGTCACAAGTCACGATGCTAGTAACAAGTGCATCGCTACTAGTAACAAGGGCATTACTAGTAACAAGAAACTACTAGCCGCTGTGTTTCGAGATGTTTGGTCCGAGGTAATTATCCACCAACGAACACCCCACAGCAAAGATTCATGTAGACTGATATCTAAAACACCAATGCAAATAAAGAGTCTACAGGATTGGCAGTCTTTCAAGCTGGCTGCCAACATGTCATCTTTGAATTGTTTTTTGCACTGGGGGAATGCCGTCACTGGACCTGCAATCCGTTTGTGTATCCTGCCTATAGAGGCTCTCCCTCAGCGATTGCATATATCTGATATCCACAAATAAACACCAACTGCATGCATGATCTCCTACCATCTCCTACCCCCTGCTGTTTCTCTTATTTCACTCATAAAAACGGGAAACTCTCCTCTCATGTCTCAACTCCTCCTCCACCGCGGACGGCGTGGACGCGCGCGGGGCTCGTCCATCGGCTCGACCCGCCCGTCGTGCCGGCGCCTTGCGCTCGGAGGCGGCGTGCTGCAGGAAATGCGTCACGCGCTGCGAGAGTGCCGGTGGGATCGCGTTGTGCCTGCGGCGCGGTTTTCCGGACGATGGGAGGAGGTAGGGACAGAGGTCCGGGGTCTGAGGAGGTCCGGTGGCAAGTAGCCGAAAGATGAATGATAAGCTGCCCAAAGCTTGAAGAGGTTGTTCAATATCCATGCCTGTCGGAGGTATGTGAATATTATGAATATATGAATCAAGATCCTACATGAAGCTAAAAGAAGAATCGAACTATACACAAACTTGTGGCTCTTGCGCATGAGGAGCTTTCTCTCTGCAGCTGCAATGCATTCACGAAATCAAAGGGGCTTCAGCTCTTTTTCACCAACTCTGAGAACTGGCAAATGCACAAACTTATATGTTCCAAGCCATAGCAGTCTTCTAGCCAACATGACTTGCCCAGAAATCTCAGCGAGATAGACATCCATTCTCAACAATTTCTGTTCAACACTCAACTTATCGAGGGTCCAGGGTCCATTTGATTCATGTGGAATCCACCAGCATCGCACCTTCTTTCAAGAGACCATGTTTGGCATTCCCCGGTGTCACCTGCCTACTTGTCATGTCAAGGACATCAAGTTCGAGATTGGAACAACTATTTGTTTCTGAGAAGGGACTGGGTTTCTAGGTGGAACTCAGGCTGTATGGCTTTAACACCAACATTACTTACGGCAAAAGGCCAGACTTGGACACGAGCCCCTACACCCACACACCATATCCTATTTGCAAATACCTATTAATGGACACACGGTATTTGCATGGAGAGGTATTGTAGGGAACCTATTAATTAATGGGTATTCCGTAGCCTTCAAAGACTAGTTGAAAAAAGACTTGACCTGGTTTTGTAGTGCAAAATCCTTGGTAGAACAGCTGGTGCTGCGGGATGACCCGGCTATTTTCCATCAATGGTGGGCTAGGAACTCTGGGGATAACATGGGATAACGCATCTTGAAGCCTGGACAGGTAGGTATTGTAGGGAACCTATGCTTATAGCAACCTAATTAATAGGAATAGCCTCCGACCTAGTAGGAAGCATGACCTCCACCTAGAGGCTTGTAGAGGTAATAGGCATCTCTGCATCTAAAGCAGCTGGATTCTCCTGACACTGCCAACAAGATGAATAGCACGAAAAGGGGCACCGGCTGGAGCTCTTTGGTCCGAACATGGATTGGTCAGGATGGGTTTCAGGGACCATCTACAGGAAAATTATGTTTTCACTTGTGTTCACCACTAAATACCATGGGTTTCCCGTAGATTCTCAGTTACTGTAAACCAATTCTGAGAGTTTGAAAAACCTCGTGGCTTCACTGCGGTGTCAATCAGGCTCGCTTTTGGAGTGATTTCCACAAGAACCCATCAGTCACCTCTGGAAGATTGATCAGTTCTCCCTTAAAATATGTTGGTCACTAGTAGTAATGGCCACCCTAGTAGCTTCTTGTTACTAGTAGTAATGCTAGGAGCTACTAGTAGTTTCCTGTTGCTAGTAGCGATGCCCTTTGTTACTAGTACCCATAAATTCGGTTGGCCATCGTTTGATGGCACAAAATGGCACAGATGTCCCCCAATCCACAGTCGGTGGTTTATATGGACCCCAATCCAGTCGGCGGGTGCCATGGACCTGAACACTGACAATCCGATGGTGGAATTGGTGCATTCAAAGCTGCCGCAAGTAACGTTGGAGCGAGGAGAACTGTTTCCTCTCCTCTTCCTGGCAGCGCAGGGAGAACTGTTGTCAACGTTGACAACATCTGGGCCGCATGACAAAAGCCTCGGCTCCTCGATCGGAAGCTTTCCTGAGAAACTCTGAGAGACAATTTTATTTGTAGGAGTCCAAGACTATATCATATACATATATATAATGATCTTTAGATGACCCGAAGTTGGAATCTCCTCTACTTCGAGTTGAACTGGACTTCAAGTATAATTAACCACAAACCACAAACCAGGACGAACCAGGAGTCTACGACATTTCTCCGGACTGAACGAAGACGGCGACAGCTACACACGACTGCGGGGACCAAAGACGAAGACGAGTTCGTGTAGACATCGTCGATGAGCAAAAATTGGATCTGCTTAATTAAGAAGGCGGGAAACAAAAAGATCCCTTACCCATATCGGGAAACTGAAAGAATCACCCTATTATAAAAGCAATACATAAGCAACAGCAACACCAAGCCTCCCAACCCCCAATCCGGTGCTCTGCAAGTTACGTGAGTTTTTAATAAGAACACGGGCCTTCAAAACTGTTGACTCACCACATCTCACCACGCACTATTAGTGACTCTATGCCTACCATATGCCTACCCTTGCCTACCCATACCTCCGTGGTCGGCTGCACAACTTCTCCAGTCACTTGAAATCCTTCAACTCCAGTCGTCCTTCAATTTGATCCGCCCGACCCCCGTGGTGCGGTGTCCAGTCAGCAGAGTTCGCATCCCCACGTCCAGCATCGCCAGATGTCGCCACATCTCGCCTTCTCCTTGTACCAGGTACCCATCATCGATGTCATGGAGCTCACCTCCAGCAGCTTTCAGGTTTTTTTTCTTTTTTCCGCAGCGCGCCGCCGCGGATTCCGTGATGCCGTCCTGGTAGGTAGGATGACTATACGGTATCTATTAACTAACCATGCCGAATGGGTTTGTAAAACACTCCGGGACAGTTGTGACATCTTGAACATGATGGGCAAACATGGCTTCTTCTCTGCGCAAGTGATGTGTGGAGTTTGAACATGAACAACATGAACTTGTACTCTGAAAACTCCTCTCATCAATTCCCATCTAGTGCTCTGAAAATCTAAACAACTGTCATGTTGTGTTTGCTTGAAGAATGTATATCCTGCAAAGAAGCATTGCTTTTTTTGTTCAACTGCAAAGTCAGTGGTCCATGTCAGCCAGTTTGCTCATTGACATCAAGTCGAGAGCCGCGTGGCTCGCCTTTGTTTCAACCTGTTCAATAGGGAGGAACCAAACTCAGGGGAAAAAATGAGATAATCGATAACATATGATACTAAACAAATAGGACCAGGAATTAGTGGATCCAGTCCTTAGGTGATCAAGATCGAAGACTGGGATTCTAATGTAGACTCTTGACTTATGAACTAAACTCTCCATAAGAGGTTTTTACAATCCAAATTGGTTGACCCAGAACCAAACGGGGAGGAAAACGGGCAAATGCCTCCGTTTCCTGCGACATCTCCCAAAAACCTGGCTCCTTCGGGACCAGGCTTAAGCCGACTTTGAATTGGCTTGAGGCTTAAGGAAAAACACACACATACCAGCACCCTCCAACAGGTCACCACCTGTGACTTTTAAGTCAGCAAAAGCCTCCAGAGGAGACTTGTAGAGTCGGGTGCTGGTACATATTCCATTATAATCCCCATGCCAGGGATTCGCTCCATATAAATCACCTCAAACGCTTAGCACGGACCCAAGTTGACCGCTCTAGTTTGACTCTAGTTGGTCATTTTCGGGTGCTTCACCTCCTTTCATTTGCCTTGCCAGGCCTCATGTGACTGCTCTGCAGCCCTCCCACTACCAGGCGCGAGCCCACACGCCAATCTTGATGAACCTCAACTTGCTTTCACCCAACATCCTTCGACCTCCTTCGACCAGTCCTAGAGTCGTTCGACGTTCTGCCCAGTCGAGAGCGCTCGGAACACGCGGCCGCGTGGCCATGGTCGAAAAGGTGATCAAACTCACAAAGGCCACGAAGATGCCTCGGGTGGAAACCACCGGGACCCACACACCGGTCGACAAACCCACGGTTTTTTCGGATAGACCAAGGCGACAGAAGACGAATGGGATGGCGGCGATGCCGAAAAAGGGCCAGGGGTGGTCGTCACCGGAGAGATCCCATGGGGCGGCCGTCCGGCCTGGCAGTCCCAGACGGGTCGTGTCTGGGCCCAGGTGTCTCCGTCCTCCGCCTCTTCAAGTTCTGAGGAAACCATCCCCCCAAAAGGGATGGGCGGTTGAAACGACTGACTGCGGGGAAAACCAAAAGTCCGATGGAAACATGGTCCTTTGGGTCTTGCCCCACCATTCAAACATGGTCCTTGTATACATGACATCTCTCGCTTGTTCTTAGGAAAAGGCCGGCTCATGGTAGGTCTGGTTCTTGGGTGAAGATGTGTTTCAACAAAAAATGGAGTCCAAATATATACCCTTGTGGCAGTAGGTTTTACCGTGACGTGACCCCTATTCTGGACCTTCACATAAAAAAGCCGGCCTCTTCTTATGCAAGTTGCTACTTTTACAGCTCAGCGGCTCAACCCACGGTGAAGGTTGGGGGCCCCAAGTGTGAAAAACTCGAAGCTCAACGGAAGTCGCGAAGCGAATCGCTCTACATCCATGGTGCCTGGCCTTCCCGGGCCGTCTCGCTTCCTCGCCTTCCGCCCCGAATCGAGGTCCATCCCGTTCCCACGGGTGGAACCAGGCTGCTGTAGATCCGCTCAGTCGTGTTGGTGGCCTTGGCTAGTAGCCGAAATGAGATCTCCGAGGTGGGTGTGTTTGATGTCGAATTGATTTCATCTTGACCAAAAAGAAACACACAAAACACGTGTGAAACAGTTTCTTGTTTTTTTTTTTTAAATATGAATGGGTGTTTTGCCCATTGTGTTTTTGAATATCCAGTGTGATATGGAGTTCTGATTAATAGATAATGATTGTGCAACCTTCTGAGCTAAAAATATCTCTATGCTGATTGGAGGACCACTAGATCGTTGGCTGACACGGAGCTTTCAAAATGCAATCACAGCATGACCAAAACATGACCAAACATGACCGGTGAAGGTTGTTGACTGACCGGTGCCTATAGAACCGTGCAACAATAAGGATCTAACCCACTGTCTTGTTCGAAGCGTCGTTTGCTTCTGCAGGGACTAAGCCCAGTTGGATTTAGAGTGGGGAAGCCAACCCCGTGTTCCATTGAATGGGTACGAAGCCGAACTGACTGCATACCACTGAATCACACTGACTGGCTCACCAAAACATCTCCAATAGCTGGAAAATCCACACTTCAGTGAGTCTCATAAGTGACCATGCCTTTAACGCCACGCAATCTGATCGTGTCTGATAGTGTTGTTTTTGGTATATTCCGCGGAGAGAATCTGCAGCCTAGTGACCTCGATCTGAGTAGAACTCACTCCCAACTGGCTCAATGCCCAATGGAGGCTGGTCGTGTACCCTGAGCTCGACTTCGGTCGCTGTGTCGCGGCTCGTTGGTATCGAGGGAATTGGTGCCTCCCAAAACGGAGAAAACCCCTTGCAGCAGCAACTCCAGCTGTTTCTTAATCCCATCACTAGTTGCTTTAAAAAGAAACACCCTTAGCAGAGTAATATGGAAACTGAGAACCACTGGGTTCTAGAGGAAAATGCCCTGATAAACTGGGTCAATTCCCAGGGTCTATGTTGGTCTGCAGGGTGGGACTTGTTCACCAGGCCTATTGTTCCAATCATTTCTGACCTGTTGCAATCAGAGCCTGGACGTCTGTCCAGGCTCCATGATCCTCCTCATTCCGCAACCGAAAAAAGATCGGATCGACAGGTGATTGAAACATACCCATACACTCCATGTATGGAATATATGCCTACATTGACCCCCCAAACCACCCCAATGTAGGCATATATTCCATACATGGAGTGTATGGGATATAAAAACACATTGTATACAATATTGTAGAAGTAAAAAACACAAGATGTTCTCCATCTAGTTCAATCAGGTGATGAGGACCTTTAACGTGTCGATTCGTTCGGCGAAGTTCTACAGTATCATAGCCTTTTCTGACAGGTCTCTTGAATAAGCCATGCATTCCTACAGTTGAATCATGTGTGTACCTTATAACTAACGTGCGGGTTTTTGGTTTGGGTATGGTTTGGGTCGCACACCTCGGCAAGTGCCGTTTTAGAATGCCAAACCAAGTAGTGAAGTGACTGGAGATTGGTCCGGTCCATCCACGATTGGAATTCACATGAATTGACATGCCGCAGGCATTTTCGCAGGCCAAGTACTGAACACCATTCAACTGCCCCACCGCGATGACTCACCCACTCACCAGCTCAGGAGTGCCTCACCACGGCTCTTCGACCGAAAAGCGCAAACAGATCGAGGAGAGCCTCCCTATCCTCACAGAGCCTCCCCAACCAAGTCGTGGTGCTGTAGAGAAATTCACGGTCCTCCACATTGAACACCGTGGACCAACCCATCGATTGGCCCCACAAATGCCCAAAGGCCCACCATCCACAGGCGATCCTGAAAACACGAAAGAGATCGAAAGAGATCAAAAGGGCGAATGCTCGGATGGAGTTCCTCATGGTGGATGGAGTCTAAGGTCACACCTCAGAAAATGGGTACAGATCGAGCTATTTGGTTTGTAGGGTCATGTCCTACAGTTTCTAAGGTACTTTGGAGGAGCCAGGTGGATGGAGCATGATGGAACATGACAGAAGTTGTGCAAATTCAGAACTTTGTCCTTTGCAGGATGGTTTTATCTTCTCTGGGGGGGTAGTTGTTGTTTTGTTCATTCCCTCAAGCGAAAACATCGCAACGGAGGGTTGCCGAGTTCTTTGCTGAAGAAGTTCATCCAACTTGGTTCTAAGTTTGTTCCGCTTTTAGGTTGGAGGCCATCGCTTTTAGGCGTTGTTCCCCACCATCTTTTTGGGTCGTATATAACTAATTATAACAGAATTCTGATGTCAGTCCTATCTTCAATGTTCGACGGCTCAGTTGTGCCTACCGGTCTACTGGCTCGGGTGGAGTACGTAGAACAGACGTCATAGACGTCTTCGCGCTCTGCCCGCGCCAGCCCGGCAAGGTTCATGTGATTCATCAGCAGAAGCAAGAAAATGTTCATGAAAATGCTGTACCTGCCAAAGAGCCTCCCATCGTGCTATATCCTTCCAGTTGCCCCAAAGACATCAAAGACCAAGGATTTCTACTCATATGGACGGAAGAACACACAGCCGAACTGGCGACCTCGCCAGCCGAAGGAGGTCGAACATCGAGAACATGACATCTCGACATGACGTCCCCTCAGGTGCACTGGACGTTCATCGCCCAACTATGCATCGCTTCCTTCACGTTCAACGCCGTCCTGGCGCGACGTGTGGATCCCCCCCGACGGATCATCACGCCCAGCCGCCGTTTTCAGGCGGCGCAGGGCTCCGAGCCGAGGAAGAAACCGCTTTCACCGCGAACACCCAGAAGGTGAAGGACCTACAGACTATCCCGCAGTAGGGTCCTAAAAAGGTCACTTAACGTCTCTTGGGCACCCCAAAAGTTGCAGTTTGGCTGCAGATTTCGACGCTGGGCTCGAAACTCGACGAAAGAATCCGCAAGTTTCCCCAGTTTCGATGCTGAGCACCTACCACCTGAGTCTGAGGGTCGAGGAATGAGTTCGCAATCAAACGATTGACAAGTGGTCGATGTTTTTCCGGGTCCAACTGGGTTTGTAATTTGAATGAAGCCTCCACTTGCGAACATCATCACTGTTGCAAAGCCAGAGAGGACCAGGGGCCGTTTCCCACTTTGCTTCATCTTGCCTGCTCATCTTGCCCAAACGCAGCACCCGCGACAAGCGCATGAGCCGCAAAGCATAGGTCCATTGGTAATCCTCAGCTGATTTCGGGAAGAAGACCGTCATTAAACTCTGTGATGGTTGAGTGGAATGGGGATCTTTTGGAACGAGAAGCGAACGGGCGGAAGTTCATGACCCTGTAGATCCCTGTAGAATTGTGACACCAAATGGTAGGGGTCACAAAGACCCAAGCAGCGGCTATATACATCTAAACTTGTGTTCATGTCATCCTTTGCATGGGAGAAAGCTAAGGAGAGTCATTAGCTTGGATTTGTGAAACATTAAATAAAAAAAAACGATTCCCCATGATTCCCCAAAGACGGGGATTCACCCACATAAGCAAAACCGAGGTCAATGGCTGGAGTATTTGGAGTACATGCTTGCTGTGCATGCCGACTGACCAACGTTACTGGACCTTTAAGTACAAAGCTGAGTGGCCTTCATGAGCTGCGGCTTCCGTCAATCCACATCTGTTGCTGACCAGCTATGCTTTGTGGCAGTTCCGAGATGTTCCCTTCACGTTCGTTGGTTGGAAATGAGACATGTCGGACCACTGTGGACCCCGGACATGTGCCACCGAAAGTGATATCAAGGAGCGTGCTTGTTTCTACCAAAGAGTTAACCTTGGAGAGGAACGAAAGCGGAATAACTCAAGCATATTGATAGCAAGGGCACAGTCACGTCCGTATATCCAGTCAGCCAACTCCTTCAATAGGCCTCCTTTAAGCGGTAGAATCAACCTCAATCAACCCTCTTCCCAGGCTGTTCCCTCCTCTGCGGCAGCGGATAAAAGAGCCAAAAAAAAAAGAAAGGCGCTGTTCCGCCCAATGGCGAAGTAGGCCAAAGCAATATGGAAGACATTGGAAGACCCAAAAGGGTCTGGGTGTGAAGCTGACAGGAAAACCCCATCTCGCCACCTCACCGAACTCACGGGGTCATTCGAGTCCGTCTCCCTTTCGCCGAACTCGCCCAAAGGTCTGGTCCTCTCGTGTCTTGAGCTACACGAGCTCACAATCTTCCAGACTTCCAGACGTCGACCTCTCAGCCAGGAAGTGGCTTTTCCTCGAGCCCTGCCTTTGTTTCAGATGACAGAGCGAAACCCACGTATATATAGTTACAAGGCAAGGTCCCTTTTGTGTGAGAGACTCGGTCACAGAAGCGGCTGGACACAGACAGGACGGGATCGGAAAGCAGCTGAAGAAGGCCATCGTGATCGAACGTGAGCTGCTCGATCGCTCGATGCCATGCCCCGTGACCGTCCGAGGTGGCAGAGGTGCTCACACCGGCAAAGCCCAGAGGCCAGCATCGTGAAGCGTCAGAGTGAGAGGTTCGTCCACAGGTGGTCAGGTTCCCTAGGCCCTAGGGCTCCAAATAGCGCCATGAGAAGATAGGACTGGAGAGGGCTTAAGTGGAGGGTACTGTGGAGGGTCTCTAGGTGCCTTCTGAGAAGGAAGAACTGGAGCCCTAGAGGTTTAGTCCTAAGAGCTGAAACCTGCACCCTCTATGACCCACTTCTCCAGCTTGCACATCCCACCTTCCAGAGCTCCTGTGCCGAAGCAAAGAGGAAACACGTATTGACCTGTCATGAACACCCGGATGGGCATGAACATCTTCACGAGACTCATAAGACACGTTGATGGTGGCAAGGTTCAGCATGTTCCCAGTTCATGCGCATGAACCCGTTGCTTCCGCGTTAGCAACCCCTTCATGCGAGCCTACTTGATGCACACGTTCTGGACCGACGTAGCATAAAAGATGCACGTCGTTCGCACATGCATGATATGTCCAGAAAGAGCCTAAAACGCCGTGGAAAGTGCCCACAGCCACGCCGGATTAGGATTAGCAACCCTGGTCAGCAAACCACCACCCGCCCCAAAACGGATTCGCCATAGAGATTCCAATCGGCTCACTCTCATGTGTGGATAGAGGCCTGGAAGCCCAGGATAAGCAGAAACAAATGCTCCTATCTAACAGGACTCCAAAAGAAATTGAACTTCCAGCAGTTCCATCTCGGGTAGGAATCCATGGAATCCAGTCGGGGTGCTATCCATCTGTCACATCCACAGACTAAACACCACACAAAACTGCAACTCACCAGAACACCCTAACCGGCTTCCCTTCATAGCTCCGAAATCGATGGGTTTTTCGCGGTGTCCATCAACCACCCCGACAGTGGGTCCGCTCCTGGCGTTCTCGGTTCGTTCATTTTGTCCCAAGGCTCAGACGAGTCCTGAGCTCTTTCTTCATCCACCAGTCTCGTTGCAATGATGGACTCAGCGACCGGAAGCCGGGCGACCGGACGTTGGACCGGCCGGTGGCGAGCCGGGTGGAGGAGCAGAGCGAGCAGGGAGACGCACCAGCGCTGGGGATCTGAATGGATCTTGAGAGAATACCAAATCACAACACAAGATGATGCATCACGGAATCATGAATCATTTAAACATCATGAATGGAAGCTTGACCTTGAGAAAGCCAGGCGAATTGCTTGAAACACAGGGTGCCCCATGGTGCCCCTATAAGACCTCCTCATAAACGGAGGTTGCTGGACCTTGTTTTTGAGCCAACTTTCCATCCTTTCTCCGCACCCTTCACTCGTACAAAAGCCCTGACCCCTAAGCTGAGCGTGCCGGTCAGTGGTCCTTCTTTCATACTTCTTACCTACCTGCATCTTCACAACATCTCTAGACTCTAGATCCCAAACCCGACCCGTCTGGGACTGCCAGTCCGGACTGCCTTCAAAACGGCCAGACCCCTCTGGCACCACCCACCACTGGCCGTTTTGAAGGTCGCAGTCGTGTCGACGGGTCGTATCGACGGGGACTCTTTTCACTTGTGAAGACGGGATCCCATACACTCCATGTATGGAATATATGCCTACATTGGGGTGGTTTGGGGGGTCAATGTAGGCATATATTCCATACATGGAGTGAAGACGGGATGGTTCGTTCGTTCGACACCGTCCGCAGGCGCGGACGAAGGATTCGTTCGACAAGGAGCCATCCAATCGAAGGTCACGAGGACGAGGTCCAGTGGAAACCAAGTTCGCAAGTAGGTGCAGGCTATGACTCGAGGCTCCAAGACCTCGACTTGGATCCATTTTGAAAGCAGAAGCACAAATCCTCTGGGCATGGACCTTTTGTTTGCCTTTTCTTTGCATTTGTTCTGGAGTGAGAACAAGGGTCGTCTAGACGGATTGAAACTTGCGCAAGCCGAAATGGTCTCATGTCCATGTTTCCATGCACCGTTGAATGCGTCATTCAACTTGCGGGCTCAGCTACACCCTGGAAGACTAGCATGGAACCTGGCAACCACTGGCTAGTAGAGGAAAACACTCTTCCAGGGAGCCATTGTCAGGGTCCATGTTAGTTCTCGGGAGTGGAGAGCTCCAAAAAAAACACTCCAAAGCTCCCAGGAACTGGGTGCCACTTCTCAATCGGGGCATGAAACCCCCAATCCGCGAGTGGAACTCGGTGTTCGACACTGGGCGGGGCATCGTTTCACATCCGGAGGTCGCTGAAAATCAATACCCAAACGATCGATTTGATGCAAGTCTCACCTACATTCACCACCAAAGATGTAATGCCCACATGTGACCTTTACTATGGATCCTCTCGGATAGGGAATGCCAAGCAAAATGACTGGAACCTGGCTCAAGCAGCCGCTTCGCTTGCTCTGTGCCGACCGAGAAAAGGACGACATCTGCGAACGAAACACGTGCGGGAAAAGGGTGTCGACCGCCGACTTGCCGACTCTTCGATCCCTGCAAAATACTCAGGGGAACCGAACTTTCCTGTTGGATTTGATTGGAGAAACCAAGCCCCCCAACAAGGTTTTGTCGGTGGTGAAAAAGGATGTTGGTTAGTTATCCACAGACTGGGTCAGGTAAGACGGTAGATTCATGATCATCCCCCAAACCTGGAGGGGGAAAATGCGTTCTGGAGATGGGGGAGTTGATTCATCAAACAGAGAACAATAGAAGTTTTGATTGCTTTGCCATCGCTGTTAGTAGTAGGTTGGAGGCCTCGCTGTTGGGTTGGAGGCCGTTATCAGGTTGAGTCGCGTCATGTTGCATGACTTTTGCTATGCGATAGCTTACAGTATCGCATCCTTTCGCTTCACATCATAACATGTTCATGAAAACAACCAAACATGTCGCATGATGCCGCGTGGTGATGCTTGTGATGCTTTGGGTGAAGGAAATCATATGTCCTGAAACCACGAAGGGATCTGTTGTTGTCAAGACAGTGTTCATTTGGGAAGGAAAACTTTTGGATACTTTTGGACAAAGGCATTCGGAAACACGGAATGACAATGGGATCGGATCGGATGAAGTGTTCATATATATGTGGTGTAAATTGAGGTCGGAGAGCCACTACTCCTACAGCCAGCTATATATTTTCCGGATGCGCAGTGCGAGCTAATCTCACCGGTGGACAACAAAAAACATCTATTAATAACACATATATATATATATATACACCCGAGAAAAAATGAAAAAAAACAACATCACAGCCATGGGTACAAGTGTACAAGTAGTGATGAACAAGTCATTGGGTTCCTTTTTCATCATCACTCTGATTCCCCAGTCAGGAGGGATTGAAATGAGTGGACTGGAATGGCTGGGCACGACTGGGCTTGTGCAACCCACCCAATCCAAGCGTCGAGTACCCCTTGCTTGTAGATGCCCGTGGAAAAGGTAAACCTCAGTCCACTGGGATCGAAGGCCACCATCGACCACGTCAGTCTGGAGTCGGAGGTCCCAAAAAGAGGTCTGGGGCATCGCTAGTGGCCATCGCAGCCAACTGCCCTGACTGACCTCCGAAACAAGGCATCGCCGTTTTCGGCCCGGGAGCCTTCCGTTGGAACGGATCATCATGAACGATCTTTAGAAGGAAAACCCTCATAGGTATACGTGGGTTGCAGTGTCTCTCTGTAAAGATTCATAAAGATATCGTAATATGTGTAATTTATCATTTACATTTACAGATTATCCCCAGATTCACTGAGAGTCCTAGCCCATCGGGGTCTCTTCACAAGTAATTCGTGTGGTCTCAGCTCACTTGAAGTTGCAGAACAGGAAATCGAAACTTGACGTGAAGAATACAGGAGTTCACCACCTCTTTGGCAGTCGAATTTCATGGTCATCCGAAATCGGGCCCATGCTTGCAACCACTTGGCATATCAGCCACTTCGAGGATCCCTCACTCATGTCAAACAGATCTCCTTTTTGGGCCCTTCCTTCTACAGAAAATCCTCCCACATCCACTCAGATCAGGCCATCGGGCCCATCCAAGACACCCAATGTCCAGGCTCCAGAAGACAATAGTCGTCCAGGTGAGAATGTCCAGTGCCGTGGATTGTGGAAGGTCAAAGAACTCCATCGGAATCACGATGATGTCCTCGGTGTTTCACTCCATACAGGTGTGTAGCGCCACTGCTAGCTGTGGCTGGCAGGCGCTGTCCCCCCCCATGTCCCTCGTCGAAGTGGGGAAGTCCCACGTGTGAAGGCAGTGTGAAGAGAAAAACCCATGCACAAAAAAAACTCACTATAGAGGTTGGGCACCGAAAAGCGTAAATCGAGCGACCATATAATCCTGTCCACCTATTAAAAAACACGCCTCCCCCCCCTATTAAGAAAAACTCGGTCGCTTTACTTTACTAGGAGGTCCCTGAAATCGGGGGGTCCAAAAAAGGGTCACCTGGGAAGAGCTTCAAAACCAAAAAGTCATCCTTTATTAAACTCGTATCAAAAATCAAAAAAAGCTCCAGGTCGAAGGGTCTTCCTTTTCGCCTACAAAAACCTTTATTAGAATACTGACTCTTCATTAGACTAACAACTAAAGCTTTCAAAATTAAAAAGGTGATGTCGCTGTACCATGCGGTTTTGCGCGACCTCGGTGGCAAGTGCGTTTGAGTGAGTCCGTGCCATTGGAGGAAGGAAAGCCTGCTGGTGTAAACGTGGCGTGTCATGGTGGATACACAGGGCGGACAGAGGTGGGCAGTTACGGTTGTTTTTGGAACAAAAAAACTACCCCAAAAGTCGACCATATTGTTTAGTTTAGTAGCGGTTTGAAAGGGCGGTAATAAACGGTATTTAGGGTTTCGGACATGGTGTTTTTAAATACCGTTTTTTGTGAATAAGTACTCGGGATTATTGGTGACTGGACACCTCGCCGTGTCTCGCCGTCTCCGCCCGTGGACGGAAAGCAGTGTGGTAGCCGTAGCACTGTTTGGGGTAGCACTATACGGTGTTAAGGCACACTGCTTGGGGTCTCGGCTGCTACATGTGTGGTTCAGATTTCAGAGTTAGCTGGTCGCTGACATGGGAAACGACGTGGTGGAACCTGCTGGAACCTGTACCCAAACACGACCGCTAGGACCGGCATATATTTACATTCGGAGTGTCTAACTTGCAATCAATCTGAGATATATTCCAGTCAAGTCCCAAACAGGTCGTGTCTGGGATATTCATGGACTAGATTGATGAACCTTCAGAAGACTTGACGACCAAGAGTCCCACACGAGCGCGATGACCGTGCACACGTTCCAGATCGTGCGAGCCCAACCTGCGACGTGCCGTGCCCGACCGACGAGTGACGAGGCCGACGTCCCTCGACCGAATCGAATGTTGGGACCTTGAAACCCGAGCTTTGGACCTTAGGGGTTCAAAACCCTAACACCTAAAAACCTTAGGGCCTTAGGGGTTCAAAGCCCCGGTACTGAGCGTTTTTTGTGCTTGGCCACGTAAGAGGTGCTTGGCCACGTCACTCAAAGAGTGGAACAGCTGGCTATTTTGGCTCTTCGAATCTTCAAGACGGGACAGCGAGGTACCTTTCTGGTGGGAGAAGTGTCTTTAAACCCAAATCTCTCCCTGGGAGCCCTGCGACGCGACGAGAAGTCTTCGCTCCAGCCGAGTGCGGTCGTGTTCGCACACTGGCATCGCTTCAGGTCATCCTGGGGTAGATAGTATGGTAAAATCAAAAGACTACAAAGATGTACAATTCATATATTCCTATGCATGCGTGCTTTGATACATGCTATCTTTGTATATTCATATTGCACGTGAATGTGAGTCCATGATGATCCATCTTCACTTTCGGGGCTGCTTGATTGGACACAACTTCACCCGCATCGTGGCGAGCACTTGGAACACCTGCCAAATCACTACCTGGAGCGGGTATGGAGGATATCCCAGAGGTGGTGTGCCACCTGGGTCCATCAGTATCGCCGCAGCTTCTGGCGCACGAGTCCAACCCGATCAAACATCCAATTGGTGGAGAACGGCACCTATTTACGCAAATATCGGAACATATGAACCTGGAACCCCAGTCCCAACCAGAAACAGTTCCTTGATGTTCCTTGTCTTGGCTTGCTTGAGATCCTTGACATAACAAGTGGTTGGCACTTTCAAACATCCATCCATTTCTAGAGATTGAGATGCCCAAAGTCATCCACGTTGAGCTGCTCACTTCGGACTCGCGACGGCCATGGGCCGCCAACCAAATAAAACAGACGTCTTGAAAGTATCGACGCTTCGTTGTTCTCCCTTCGTTTTTTTTTGGAAATAAAGGTGAAGCTCTTTCTTACTTGGATTTAGTAGTGAAACCAACCCCCCCAAAAGGAGTGCCAGTGATTTCGGTGTCGCTTCCCTCCCCCCTTGTGTCGCTTGGACCCGGGTTCGACCCGCCTGAGGGGTGCAGGATGTACCGTGGAGGAGTCGTATCGATGAAGGTCAAATCCGGCTTCTCCATGGTGGACACCGTTGCGTCAAACAGACCTCGGTGCGCCGCACCAAGCGCCCCCGAGCGAAGACCGGCGTGGGGCTGACGCCGGTGGCTGCGCTGAAGAAATGGGAATTGCTGGGCTGAAGATTTGAGTGATCTGGGAGTCCTGGCCCACCTTGAATAGCCTACATGCCGGCCTGAATCCTAAAGTCCTAAAGAACCAGCTGTTCTACCAACAAAAAACAGCTCAACCTTGCTTGATCTTGCTTTATTTTATCTTGCAAGATAAAAAGGAGCGCATGGTACACATGGTTAATGGTTTTGATGTTATTGTTGCCGTTCCCCCTCTTTCGGTGATCTGCTCGGTCAAGGGACCTCCAGCCGAGGCCTTTCGCATGAGCACCGTCACGGCTTTCTCTTGCACCTCAGATGACTGACATGACTGACATGATCAATGCTCTACTCACTCGATGCTCTAGTTCCTCTTTTGCATCGCTACCTTCGCTCTTTGCCTACACAACAGGTGTTTTTTCCACTGGCCTGCCATTTTATTATGTGCTATAATATGCTATGATTAAGTATGGTCGACGGCTACAATATGGGACATGATGGTCGTCCTCTTCAGGTTTTGCTCGGGGTCTCGATGACTGGGCTGAACCAAGGCGAGTTTCGAGGTGGGAAGGCTGACCGTCCGACCCCCCCGTTGTTTTTGGAAGACGAACAAACATAACTAAAAACGCAGGACGCACAATGTCACTAGGGGTTGGTTCATGGACCCGCTAATAAGGGCAAAAACGCTGACTCTGCATGTTTTTTTGGTCCGACCAGTGACCAGTCTTCATGTTCAGCGAACATGATGTTCGGCAAGAAACTGACCCGCCTTCCGAGCTGGAGGAGCCTTGCTCCGGTTCAAACTCCGCCTGTTGGAATTGAAACCTAATCTAATAGCTGATGAAACCTAATCTAATACCTAATCTAATTGGAACTCCAACTTTTCCTGGGTAAAGCTCATGCTTTGGGATCCTTATAATGATTCCAAGGTGGCAGCATTGGTCCCGTGCCGCCATGATGTGATAACCCGGCGAAAAAATATACCTATGACCTTGGGACTTAGATATGACCAAATGAACACCGGAATTGTCCCATCATCCGGTGGGTTGGACATGGTGGGACTGATGTTCGACGATCCCAGAATCGAGAACAGCACATATACATACATACATACATACATACATACATACTTACATACATACATACATACATACATACATATATATCATATATATTGTGAAAAACAAGGTGAAAACACCAAGTTCAGGAACCCGTGCGCTCGAAGTCACTGGGTTGACATGAAAGGGGGAAAGCGTGCAACGCGAACGCTTGTTTTGACGTGGCCTCATGTGGTGACTCAAGGGCCCTGTTTCGGGCGAGTTCGAACCAAGTGCCAAACGCGGTGGAAGCATCATACCAGGTTTGTGGCACAGAACTAACACCGGTGGTGCTCTGCAGCAAACAAAAGTCTCTTTAAGGACGAATGCCACCAGCACATTTCAAATATGGAATCATCAGGTTCCATCTGAGGAACCCGGCTGTGGTCGCCGCGACGTAGGCGTCACCCGGGAGACACAGAAACTGCACACCAACCATTCTTTCACATCATGTGACTGTTGTAGTGCACTGCATGTTGACTCCAGGTGATAGCACATGCCTGTTCTTGTTGTAAAGGTTCTTTGTGGGATGCCCCCGATGTGGTTCGGGATGTAAGCTGCATGCTGTGCCACTTCTGCTAGCGATGTTTCCAGCTCACGGATCATCCGCTGTTGCTCATCTAACCTTTCTTCCATGTAGTCGTCTCGGTGGTCTCTCATCTCAATCTCTTCCTTGAGCTGTTGACATCTGGTCTCCAACAACTCCTTTTCATACCTCACTTGGTCCATGGCTTCATTTCCTCTTTTGATGAACTCTTTGTACTGCGCAATCCTTGCCTCATATCGATCTGCACTCTCTCGGAAATGCAGGTAGTGGTGGTTCGTCAGTCTGTGCTTCAGCCTCGGTTGTCAACGGTGGTGGTGGTGGGTCACGATGCTGTCGCCAACATGCTTGCAACCAACCAATGATCTGAAAAAGACCAATGCACAACAATGTAACCATCACCAACAATGCAAAATCCCAACCAATCGCATCTTGCTCTTCGTTCTGTGCCATTGCTGGCTTGAACTCGTTTGCAATGATCATCATGGTCAGACTTTTCTTCACACTGATTGCATTTCTTCTTGCATTGTCTTTCCTTTCCTGTACTGTCTTGCGCTTTGCTGCTTGAAATGTGCTGTCAGCTGAAAGTGAAATCTGATGAGATCTCAAACGATCTGCCAACAACTGCCTTGCCTGTATCTTTGTGAGCCCGTCGGACAGCTGAACCTCCGATGACACCCACCTTAGCTGAGTGTTCAGGTCCTTCATCTTTTGTTTCACAATCATGCACTCAATTTGCGTGCGTTTGTCAGGAACTTCAGCTTTCACAGCGTCGTACAATGCCTTTGCATCAATGATCACTGCATTGGGGAGGAAATGGTCGCTGCTGCGCTGATTGTCTTTGACATGTTCCAAACTGAAATCTGCTTTGTGACATGCCTGCCAAAAGATGTGAACGTACTCGAGGGTGTCAACTGCTGCTGAACAAGATTGTGCTTCAGCGTTCAACGAACTGCGGGATACACGGGGCAACTTGAATGAACGCCAATCCAACACAACATATGGATGGTCAGGTTCTCCCCCGAGCACCTTGCGATGTGCAAGCAGAATGAAAAATCCACCTTGGCTCAAGTGATCTGTCCTGACACCCCATGCCGCATCAGAAATCGCCAACAAACACAACTCCTGCAAAGGGCCTAGACGTTGAAAAATTAATCCAACATCTGCATTGCTCTTGCTGAACCGGAGTGCTTTGTTTGCTGCGTCTGAAACTGATTGGCTTGCACCGCTGACATTGCCGCAAAGAATCGAGATGCTTGCTGACAAATGGGGTGCTGTTTGTGTTGCTGCCCACTGCAAAGCTCCTAAAAGACCTCTCAAGGAACTGACTTCATTGGACCTGAGCTCATCATCGTGCTTCTTGGAGGTGGTTGACATGGGTTTTATCTTCTTCAAATACTCCTCCTGCTGAATCTTCCATGCCCCATTGCTGAGCTGTGTCAACTTGTTACCACAAAACTCGAGCTCACCTTTGTCCTCCGTGGTCCAATGCTTGAAGTTGAACTCCTTTTGCAAGGCCTCTCTTGCTTTGATGTACTCTGGGTCATTCTCATCACCTGCCCCGATCATGTCGTCAACATGAAGCCCAATCAATGAAACCAGTCGGCCTTGTGCATTGTGGAGTCTGTAAAGACAATGATCCAATGCATGAACCGTGTAGCCGACACTGCAAAGTCGTCTCTTTGCAACCTGAAACCATGTCCTGGGAGCATCGGCTTGTCCGTAAAGTGGTTTCAGCAGTTTCATATGGGTACCTGGTGGACAACCCATCAGGCGGCAAGCATCTGCTGGAATGCGACGCCAAAGGAGACGGGACTGCTTGTCTCCCTGAAGGAATGCCGTACTGACATCTGCAGTGAACTTGCTCCAGCCTTCGTTGACGGAGATGGCCAAAAGAACCTGTCGACTGATTCGGGACAATGTCGGGCTGCTGGTCTCTAAGGCTCCTCGAAGAAGGTCTGGGTCTGAAAAACCTTGAAGGACCAGTCTTGCCTTTGCTTTTGGGTTTCCTGATGCATCTGTGACCCACTTGAGCACAAAGCGAGCCCTCATCACTCTTCCATGGTCAATCGTCTCTGGGTTGGTTTCGATCTCCCATACTCCATTCTCAAAGATGCTGGACAGTTCCGACTTCTTACCTTGAACAAATGCCAACCTGTCCTCTAATGACATCTTGCCTTCACGGAGATCATCTCGAGCCCTTCTCGTGCGGGAAACTCCCACAGCTGCCCAGATGTGTCCTCTGCCCCGTAGGGTCCATTTTCCTTTTGTTTTGTTGACCATGTCGCCGGCATAGGGCATCCTTCGCTGTGCTGCTGCTTCTTTCTTCAAAGGAAACAATGTCTTACCAAACCAACGGCGGCTTCCGACCATGTTTTGACTCTGAGGCATTCACATAGATCTTTCGCTGACCTTGAATCATCGTCAGTCCTTCTGTTGCCTGGAGCTCTGAGGGATCAATGTCAGCTGGAAGTGGTGCCTCTGAAAGATGGATGGGCAGTGATGCCGGACCAAGAAGCCATCCTCATAGCCCCAAAAGTCTGTGGTCGGTCCCAAGGTGAACTCCTGAGTCTTCTCATCACACGTCCACCCTTCTGCCAAGTCGCTGAGGCTTGCACGGATGTGCTTGTCATCAACTGCCGAAAGAAGCTCAACCTGAAAGGCTTCCTCACCTGGTTCCTCAGTTCTTGGCTTCTTGTCCTGATGTCTCGTGCTGCCGCTGTCTGGTGTTGGTGGCCTGTGGTTGTCTGGAATGCCCATGGGATGAGGATCATCTGACCCCCTTGCCGTGCTGTGGGGTGCTGTGTCTTGTACTGTCGGTTTCTTCATCCATAATGTCTCTTGCTTGTTGAGTCGTGCTCTCTTCTGCTCAAATGTCTCTGCCTTGGGAGTGCGGAACAAGGGATCAATTTCAACATCCGGTTCTGGCTCAGTCGGTGCCAGTGATGGTGGGATGTGCACTGGTGACAGCAAATCGTCATCCTCCGGAACTGGCGGAAGCGGCGGTGGCTCCGTTGGTTGTTCCGGTATGTCATCATCCATGGGAACTGGTGGAAGACTGCCTGGTTCTGGAAGGTCTTGGTGTCCTGGAAACTGTCTCCATAGTGCTGCATTGTGGTGTGTCCGGTCAATCTCAAGCTGGCTGACAGGTGTCGTTTCCTGTGCTGGTTCATGGTCATGGACCGGTGGTGCTACAGCCATAGTGGGAGTCCCATCTGCTTGTGGAGAGGGAGCTGTCGCTGGGGTGGTTGTTGGTCCATTGCTTTGCCTAAGCACAGGATCCAAGAGCTCCTCGTCGTCCTCCTCCGGGGTCCATCTCGTCCAGCGACCGCTTGTTGACCTTGGTAAGGTCCAAGACTCGGACCACTCGCCTCTGGCGTAGGTTTTCCAGCGACTCCTTCACCTTCTGTCCTTTGGCAGTCGTCTGACGTGTTGCCGTCCTGCTCGTAGGAGGGACGTTCCATGGGCCAACCAATAGGTCACGATCGTGCCATTGTCGGGATCCTTCTCGACAGCTAGGACCGTGGCCGGCCCTCTCCACTGGATGGTGTGTTGTCGATCCGGCGACTCCCTCCAGTACAGGCATCATCGTTCACCTGGTTGAAGCTCTTCATCTCTACCTGAAAACTTCCGAAGCATGGCACGTCTCAACTTGACATCGATCTCGGCCTTTGCACAGGCTGCTTGAGCTTCGAACTTCAACTGTAGTTTCCTGTGCAGGCGCTCTTGCTCACCCATCTGCAGCTGGTTGATGGTCGTTCTTTCATCTGACAACAGGCCTGGGAGGTTTGGCTGTCTGCCCAATGCTAGCTGCGTGGGAGTGAACCCATTGACGAACGTGTGATCATTCAATGATGGTACAATCCAGCAAAGAGCGTCATGAAGTGGGAGGTCTTTGAGATCGTGCTCCTTCATGAAGACTTGGAGACTCTTCCTCAACAACTGGTGTCGTCGTTCAACCAAACTGGTCCGAGTGTGTGACTGGCCTGGACTGATGCGCATGTCAATGCCATGCTCTTCTGCCCACCTCATAGTGCTGTCTGAGGCAAATGCTGGGTGCTCGTCCACATAGAGTCTGGTTGGTGGTCCATGAAGTCTAATCCAACTTCTCTCCAAGGCCTTCTGAAGAGTCAGACCCTGTTCATCACTCACTGTCCTGGCCATCATGTAGCGGGTTGCCTCATCAATCATGACCAGAATGCCAATCTTCTTGGCCTTGTGCTTCTTGTCGGTGTAGTCCTCAAGAGAGTTGAGGTCCAACCACATGACATCTGCCTGAACGTGTACATTGAACTCACGCGCACGATCAAGATGGGCTGGTGCTGAACCTTTCTTGATGGCAAAGCTGTTGCAGTACGGGCACTCAAGGTCACGAATGGCTGCCAAAACCTTCTCATCAACTGGCTTGTTCTTCAAGAGTTCAAGCAGAACTTCAGTCCTTGGGTGACCTAAGTTGCGATGAAGTCGATACGCAACTCGCACAGCTTCAGCACCGTGCTTCGTGCCCAGCTTCCGAAGGACTCCTGTGAGCTGTTCTTCTTGACCCACTGCATAGACCTGCTCTGACAGATCTTCATCAGCCATGGCGGCCTCGGCTAAACATCTGGCCAGCATTTCTGGGTAGTCTTCAGCAGCCTTGCAACGATGGCCTCCTTCCAAGGCTTGGTGATCATGGTCTCCACTGCATCGGCGTGACATGTACCACACCATTGCTTGCTTCGTTGTTTGAAGTGTTGTGGCCTTTTTGATGGGAAGCCATTCACCTTCATCTGTCCATGAGACTGCACCATATGTGCATTGATCGAAGGTCACGCGCATGCCAGGAAGCTGAAAAGCTGGAGTCTTCCATGCCTTGGAATGAGCGGGATGCTCAATATGGCCATGTCGACCATTTCTGGCCTGTCCCAAGTAGATCTTCCGACAGAACTTGAGGTGAATCTCGTGGTCCAACCATCTCCTCTCTTGCAGCTCGTGCACGTCCTCCTCCGTTCGAAGGTTGATGTTCTGCATCGTGGACCACAGTGTACACTTGGGTGACATGAAACTTCATCTGGCTCTTCCTCCTCCTGCAACTTCAACAAGGCCTTTGCGGTGTGCTGCCTTGGTGAAGTCCCAGCCATCTGCTAAGCCAAATCTTCGAACCTCTGCACCTCTCTTCTGACACTCCTCCCCGACCGGCATAGATCTCCCACACAATCTTCTTCCTGTGAGCTCCTGGCCGGGCTTCATTCATCATCTGCTTTTGCTTCTTCTTGAGATCCTGGAGCTGCATCTCGCAGCATGTGAAAAGACGTTCAAGACTTTCCACGGTCTTCTCAACTCCTTCCACCCTTATCGCATGCTCGGCCTCCTCTGCCAAGCCCTCGATCTCTGTCTTCATCTCCTCAAAGCGTCCTTCGGCTCTCATGTCCTTCAGGAAGTCGTCGAAGCTCTCAACCTGTCCGTGGTCATCCTCACTCCTCAGGTCAAAAGTCGGGTTGTCCAGCTGCGAGGCATCTAACAAATGACTGCACAGGGAAAGGAGCATGCTTCCCTGCTTGCCACGCTCAATGTCCCTCCACGCACCTCTCATGATCTTCATGCGGCCTCCTCCAAAGTCAACAACTGCCTGCAAACGCTCCAAAATGGGTCGTCCAAGCAGCATGGGAGTTGCTCCAAAGATAATGAACGCTTGGATGCGTCCGGGCACATTCTCAATGAGCACTGGAAGGGACACCATCCACCTCGCTGAACCTTCTGCGTCACCTCCGAACCTGAAAAGCTTGTCACATCTTTTGAACTCGAGCTGGTCCAGGTTGAAGCCTTTGAACTGCAGCCATCCTCAACAGGTACCCTGTGCCAAGAAGGAAACTGCTGGCCCCCTGGTCCTGGATCGCGATGTCAGGCTTCTCTGTCAACCATCCGCCGGCTCTCACCAGCCGTTCTCCTTGGGCGTAGGCCTCCTCGACCTCCTTGAACTCATCATCAGAATCCTCTGCTGGCTCGACTGTCAATGCCATGCCGGCCAACAACGGATCGCCATCTTCTAAGACCCTCTGCTTGGCTGGTGAAGTCGCCTTGCTGTGACACTTGGCGGCCAAATGACCAACTTTGCCACACCTCAAGCACGTCCGGGTCTCATTCATGGACTGCATGGCATCCTTTGCACGAGCCTTGCCGGTAGGGCCTTTTCTGCTGGTAGAGGATGAAGACTTTCCGGACTTTCCTTTCTTTCCTTTTCCTTTCTTGCCTCCTCCAAATGAGGGTGAAGAAGGTGGCATGGATGAAGATGAAGAACCAACAACTGGCATCTGTCTCTGATCAACCATTGCAACAACTGGATAGAAACCCCTGCTCTGTCGAAGCTGCTGCATGCGGTTCTTTGCATCTGTGTATGCTGCAAACACTTCATCAAATTCTTCTGTGTCGAACAGGGATGCTTCATCTGTGCTTGCTGCATCAAAGAATACTGTCTCTTCATCGTCCTGCCAGTACGTGTCATTCGGACTGTAGTCGTCTTCAAGCCAGGTCTCAGTACCATCTTCAGCTTCATAGTAGGCTTGATCCCAGTCCTCAACGTCCTCTGACTCCTCAGTCACTGCATGAACAAGTCGGTGGTTCTTCCATCGTCCCTGCTGTAACGGAATCCGGTGTTGAGCGACATGGGCATGACGGTGATCCTGTCCAAACAGCAAATACAATGCAGGCTCAACTGTAGTCAATGTCAACTTTGTCCCAACATGTGTCTGCACCATCACTTGTTGCTCTCTTGTCAATGCGGCACGAACATGAGCCAACCACTGACCTCAGGAGGGAGGTCAATCTTGAACTTGAGCAGCTCACGAAGTGCCTGGTTGAAATCAGTGCAAAACTCCAGTAGGGACTGTCCAGGTTTGCGCATCACCTTGAAGAAAAATCTGTCGAAAGCTTCAGGCATCTCGACTTTCTCATCGTACTGCCACAGAGCATCTAATCGTTTCAGCAGGAGCGACAGTCCGTCTTCCTTTTCCAGGTCAGAGATCTCCAGATCTTCACACTGTCGCCATGAAGCTCCCTCCAAAGCCGAGAGAATGGTCAGGGCAGTCTCCTTTTCTCGACCCTGTAGCTTTTGGCGGTGGGCGTACAACTGGACACGCTTTCGCCATTCCTTGTAGCCAACTGTCGTGTTGTCAAACCTGGGGATATAGAACTTGTCAGCTACGGAATCCGGTTGCTTCGAACTCGAAGCGTCAGGCATGGCTAACGCGGGCGCCCGGAGCCGTACTTTGACGGCTCCGCTACCAATGTGAAAAACAAGGTGAAAACACCAAATTCAGGAACCCGTGCGCTCGAAGTCAGTGGGTTGACATGAAAGGGGGAAAGCGTGCAACGCGAGCGCTTGTTTTGACGTGGCCTCATGTGGTGACTCAAGGGCCCTGTTTCGGGCGAGTTCGAACCAAGTGCCAAACGCGGTGGAAGCATCATACCAGGTTTGTGGCACAAAACTAACATATATAGTATATACTATATATAGATATATATATATATATACATACATACATATATCATATATATATATAATACCCAAACAGTATGCCATATATGCCGCCATTGGGGTGGTCTTGGGGGTCAATGGGGCGGCAGTCCTATGGCAGTCCCAGACAAGTCGTGTCTGGAATATGAACTCAAAAAAGGACCAGGTCTGGTTTCTCTGGATTTCTTGCTACCTTCGATCCGCTGATTTCGATGGTTTGGGTCGACCACGGTCCCGTGGGGTCCTCAGGATGGGACCGGCAGCCAGGCCCTGCGTGGTTGCAAGTCCTCATGGGTCGAGCCGAGCCGCGTGACAAGGGGGCCCCCCCCCCCCCCGAAGTGGAAGACCTCTTCTGATTCCTTGCATTTAAGGGGTCAGTTCTACATGCAAGAATGAACAACTCCTTGGTGTTCTTCTTCTCCCAGTGCGGAACGTGTCCCAAGGTCCGGTTCCACTGATCTCCAAAGGTCATGATTCAGTCTGGGACAAGAGAGTCTGGGAGTCTGAGCCGTCTGAGCCGTTGACAGTCATACATGTGGCGAACGTGAAGACCCTTCGAATCCCAAGAGCTCTGTCCAAAATGCCTTCGCCCTTCAGGACACGAATATCCACTTCCTTTAGATGGTCGAACACTTGGAGCACGAACGCCCTCCCAAACGCTCTCAAAGGGATTGATTGATTGATTGATTGATTGATTGACTTATGATTGAAGACCGGTTGTGGGACCAATGGATTGATTTACTAAGTTGGCTGAGCAAATCTGGTGTCCAAAATCGATTCAACGCACCCCGCTCTCCGGTCGAACTACTTAGGCGTACAACGGTCGTAGATCAATCATATCTCTCAAGCAGGAAATTGACCTACGGTAATCTGCCCGGATCCTGCAGGTAGTTGACTTCCTCAGCTTCCCAGGCAAGGCAAAAAGAAACTACATATTATATTAACCTATATATAGATCATGGCGACCGAACTTACCATATGTTATCTTTCGGGAACAAAACATCCCCGCGAAACCAATGCCTTAAACATGCTTAAAAGCTTATATCCGCTTTTCCTGGCAATGCTCACCAAGCATCTCAAAACGATCGAAGACGGATCGCAAATGGTTTGATTCCCCTGAACTTCCGGAAACTTGACGCATGGTCTCCATACCCACCTGGCACTCATCATTCACCACTACCGGAGCTCGGGGTAGGTAGTATAGTATAGTATATTATGCCTACATTGACCCCCCCTGGCACCACCCCAACTGATCGGTATATATGGCATACAGGGAGTCTATGGGACAGGTACGCAAAATGGGTCCAACTTGAACCGAGAAGTGTCCTCTTCGTGGCGTGAGATCTTGCGACGGTCGACCTTGGCCGTGGGGGATGGCTGGTTAGGAGGTCGGGCTTGTTCGTCAGAGGAGACAGCAGCTATCAAAAAGAAACAGCTGAGCATTCCCTTCACAGGAACCAGAAAAAGGATGAAAAAGGGCTATGTCTCGTATGTCTATAATATGTCATCCTGTTTAGCCGTTTAGCCGATCTGCACTGTCGATGTAAACTCGAGACCGAAGAGACCTCGTTCCCTACACCGAGTGCCGCTGGTTGGGGCGCCACGGTGTAGTGCTACGTCGAACGGTCCGTTGAGTTCGCCATGACCTGTTTGGGAGGAAGATCTGCCGCCCAGGTCGATCGAATTCAGTGTATTGGCCAGCCGTGCCAATACACCACCAATCGTGTCTGGGTAGTAGCAACCTAGCTGTTTTTATTTTCGGCAGCATCGCAGTTCGGCGTATCCGCTCCTGAAAAACTTCAGGGGTACGTAGGGAGAAGCCAAAGATGAAATTCCGAGAACCGGAGGTCCATGGTTTCAAGAGTTACGCCGACCTGGCTGCTATCGACATCGTTTTCGAACATGTTAAAGAAGCAGCGTGTGGCGGGTGGAGTGGCCAGCACCAAGATACTTGGCAGTTGTGCTCTCTTTCACCATGTTAGAGACATTTCTTGCACATGAAGACCTCTATCACCATCTCACCCAAACCGCCGTGTTTTCACCCTAAGGACACACAAAGTAAAAAAAGGATAAAGAACACACCGACCACAACGCGTCGAGTCGTTTTTTGGGGCGACCTGGCAGGGCAAGTTGGATCACGCCAAACTGGTGCCAAAGCGTGAGCCAAACTTGTGATGTTTTGGTTGGTTCTCAGTTGGCTCCCGAGAGACATGCCACCCTGACCCCCATGTTCGGCAACTCTTCATGGGTTGTCGCTGCGGGTTTTTCCTCGCGCTCCCAGGAGCAGAAGTTCATCACATTCATGCTGAGGAGCTAAGCCAGAGTTGTTGGAGAGAGTCACTGTTTTCGGAAAGGGCAAAGGTGGTGCAGGCGTGACCGTTGGCTGACGCAACCTGGTCACGGTCTGAACGGAGCGCGGAGAGAAGAGACTTGAAGGATGGACCATGTGTTCTTTCTCTCGAACATTCTCCGTAGAGCCCACGGGGAGAGTGTCAAGGCATGGGGTATCGGGTATCGGTTTTTCCATGTTTTTTTTGGGGGTTTTCATGTGTTCATGAAGACAGAAAAAGACTTCGGCGTTTCTTTCGTGGGGGGCGTGCTTTGTGTTCGTCAGTTCTTTGGGAGCTGGCCTTTGTACCTGGTTGGTGGTTTTAAACTCACTAAGGATAACTATGAGTCAGTGGGTTCAATCATCCCAAGTAAAGGTTGAACATTGAACATAAAATATCTGAAACCACCACCCATGACCTGGTCACTGACCTTCTGGGAGACTTCTGCGGGCAGCAACAACCCTCAATGTGCAAGCACGCTCCTTCACTTCTAGTTGTCTACACTCCCTCTTGGATCTCCACGTGGATCTCCAGATCAAACAGTCTATACCCTACCCAAACACTCCATGGGACTGCCAGTCCGGACTGCCCCAGCCAGACCCCCCCAAACCCACCACCCCTGGCCGTTTTGAAGGCAGTCCGGACTGGCAGTCCCAGATGGCGGTCATGTCTGGGATATGGTAACACGAGAAGCTCATTTGTAGGTTTCGTCTGTGAGACAAACATGTCGCAGACTTGAAGAATGCGTGAGACGTAGGCCCTCTAAGTGGCCGTCACACACCCGTTTGGGCTCCAGTCGTACCCTCGTTTCGAAGGTGGGACTGGGGTGGGTTTGAAGAGTCCAGTCGTACCATTTGAGGAAGTACGACCGGAGCCCCTCGCAAATGATGGTGGATTGGGTTGGGTCCTTGGATGAAATCTGGTCTCAACCAGGGCAAGAAGTCCTAGTCTTGGTGACTTGTGAGGCATGACCGAAAACGCTGTGTGGGGTCGTCGTTTTTAGTCACCTTTGTCACTGCTGTTTCACATGTCGTCCTCCCGTCCCAAGGACCAAGGAGTCAAGAAATATATCGCTTTTCTATATGAGCATCCATGCATGCGGAGAAATCCAATAAGGTACTTCTCTGGTGGATGATGAAGTTTCAAAAACCGATGGTTTTGTGATTCTGGTGGTTCTATGGTTTCATCACCTCTGTGGTTCTGTGGCTCTGCATGTGCTGCCTCTGAATTCTTCCCGCATCCCCTGCGATCGTGCCAAATTTGGGACCAGTCACTGGCCAAAGTCAGCATCCTCCATACTGGCGCTATTGTTATGGCCTTGGACATGTCGGATGTCACCAGCAGTCACCAAGGAAGTCTCAACACCCCCGCGGGCACCCACCGGCACACATCCCGACCTCCACAAATCCACCGAACCTTACCTTCTCTTCGCGAAGACAACGGCACGCCCATTTCGCACGGTTCCGGGCTGTAGACCAGATCCACTCCCACCGTACGAAGGTCATCGGACCCTGCAGGCGCCTACAGTCTCTATTCACTGGACTGCAGGTTCGGTGGCAGTGGATCCATACGCTACGAGTCTCACGTCCACACGAGAGTCTCACGAGAGCCTACGTGTTCGGTGGTTGGGGGGGCCCACCCCGATATCGAAACCGGCGGGGAAAAACCCCCGTCGCCCAAACAGGATCTCGGATGCGCCGGGAGTTCGCACGGCAGAAATCCACCACCACCCAAGGTGCTGGGGCGCTTGGTCTCCCGATGGCATAGTCAATCGCAAGATTTCAGCTTTAGATGGGGGGGCTCTTGATCGGCAAAACCCTGAGTTTTTGAAGGTTCTTGAACATCGAGCGCAAAAAACACGTCGTAAATATCGGCATGTCGGTTTTGGGACACACAAAGTGTGGAAGGCGGTCTGAGTCTTAGAACAAACGTTGGGTCTGTTTGAGTTTTGGTCAAAAATAGCCAGGTAGAACCGGGATGTTGGGAACCTATTTGTATGTGTTTGTTATTATAGCACTCAGAAAATCTTTTGAAAAGCAGTTCATATCTAGCCACCACCAGTGTTTGCAACGATACTATAACGCCACAAATACCACAACGTTGCCACACACATTTCTCCCGGTGTGGGCGGACAGCGGCGTAGGCGGCACGCAGATCCGGCGCAGGGAGAAACCCCGAACGGCCCGAACACGTCAGCTTTCCGCCCAACCGACCAATGGAAAATAGCGTTCTCTTCTTCGTTCAGTCTCAGAAAAAAAAATAAGGAGAGTGCAGCCCAGATCTGCCTCCCGCCTGTGAGCTACTTGTTGGCGTGTTGGAGGTGTTCTTAATCAATTGCAGGCAAAGATTCCATCAGTGTTCAAGTTCATATCTAATCAAATCATATAGCACATTAGAATCATATGCCAAAACCTCAATTCCTCCACCACTGACAATAACATTAACGTCATCTATGTTTTGCCTTGAATCCCTGGAGCAATCGTCAATAATCAAAGTATCTCAAAGTATAATAGCCTGGCAATGCCTAGCATATAATAACAGTACCATGCGGGTCATCATGAAAACTGGTCATGTCAAGCCTCTGTTGCAATTCACTCTCCATAAAACCACTGCAACCGGGGACAGTGATACTTGGGCTATGTACCCTAAGGATCCAATCGTACCTTCTCAGGTGAAGTGTTCGACACTGTGCCAGCCAATCGGGTCAGGTTCGGTACGACTGGAATGTCTAGGGATACCTGTTTGGGCTCCTGGCCCATCTCCTCAGGTTCTGTGGGCACAGACCCCCCCTGGCACCCGCCACTGTCCCATCTTCGAAACGGAGACGGTTGGATCCTTAGGGTTAGTTTAGGCAGCTTACCGGATGGGATGGGTCTAGGAGTCAAAACACTGCCCCTGCCCCAAGAGCTGGCGATTGAAGGGTCCAAATCAACACCTGCCACAAGGGTCCACAACTGCCATCGCCCTGTGCTTTTGGCTCAAAAGAAAACGGAAACTCGGCCCGGACTACGAGATCCGAGTCCCAAAGCCTTCCAAGTCGCTCGCAGAAGAGTGTTGATTCGCCTGCGACAAGCTGTTGAAGCTGGCCACCCTCGGCACGTTCCGAGGCCAAGCGATGTAGAGAAGGACGTGTGCGCGCCAGCAAGACTCCAGCAGTGGAGCGATGCACAGGGCGTGATCAAGTCCTCATCTGACTGCCTTATCCCTCCAAGAGGGTCCAGTCATGTCCAGTCATACGAGGAGGTGCGACTGGAGCCCTAGGGTTTTCTTTTCCGGGAGAAGGGGTATAACTTATCATAAGCTGAGAAGGGGTATAAGGTTATATAACCTTTTTGCACGGGCGCACCTGACATGTTGTCCAAAGTCTGTGGGCTCTTTTCAAAGGCAGTGGTCATTCCGAAGTTTGTTGGCGAGAAGGGAGGAGGGGCGAGAGTAAAGATGAGACGAGAAGGAGAAGGAAAAAGCTCGCAAAGAGATTTTAGGTGTTGCGTGTTTTTTGTTGTGTTCAATGTTAGTTTCTTTTGGTCTTTCTTGGGCAAGGACTGTTCAGAAATGCGAAATTGCTGACGATCGGAGGGTCCTCAAAGACGGACTCAAGACCTCGCTTTACTGGAGTTGGTCAGGCAACAAAAATATTCCAGCACGACCTAAAGGGTGGTTTATAGACCCTCCTGAAGATGTATGTTCTACCAATAATCACCCTTTGAGTGGTGCTGGTTTAAGAAGGTAGAAAACCCAAGTTTTATTGCGTCAGACTGGACATAGAGGGATAAGTCATGTAGTCCATGCGCGCGTCCTGAAATAGTTTATTTAAAAAAGAAAACCGTCTGCTTTGTTTTAAACCAATGGCCAACAAAAACAACATCACAACTCACAAGAAAGAAAGCTGCCACGAAGATATCGCCAATGAGACAAAAACACAACATAACAAATAAGAAAACCAACAAATAAAACAAAGAGTGAACAAATGCAACACATGCACTATGCAGCAAAACACAAGCAAATACGACAACAAACGGCAACATGCACTATGCACAATCAAAAACAACCATGCAACACCATTAGTACCAAAAGAAAAATTGCAGCGGACCAGAAGCAAGAAGCCAAGAAACCAAGAAGCCAAAATCCTAGGCCAGAACCAACCACAAAATACAAAGGACACCATTGACATCATTCCTAAAAGGCAAAAGACAAAATCCAAGAAGCCACCAAGACCAAAAGCGAAACCAGCAAACACCTAGAACATCCACCAAAAACTCTGACTAGCCACCAGAAGCTTTTTGAAGCCCAAGTTAGCTGGCTAGAAGTACAAAAAAAAAACGGTCATCTAAATCGGAACATCGGTGTGAAACCGTCCCTGCGAGCATCGTTTCTTTCGTCACATCGAGACGGCTCCGTCGTCGGACTCGAACGGAGCGAGCTCGGACGCTGACCCGAACGGGGCGAAACTGGCCGCTCTGGAGCGAACGTAGAAACAAGATGTACCCGAACGAAGTCCAGGTCGACTAGTCTTTTGACCGGCTGAAGGATCCAGGACATTCCGGGTCACTCAGGTCCCCCGTTCGTCCCATTCTTTTTATCGTCGACTTGACTCCGTAGATGTTTCGGGACGCGGGGGGTTGTGATATCAATCTTCCAACGAGGACAAAGAGACCTGAATGTAGGTGTCGACATGAGATCGCCTCGTAAAGAGGTGATGAACGGGGTGTCCAAAAACCACACTTGGAAGGTCCTGGTATATGCACAATGTCTGTCAACCTTGGCTGTTTTATGAGATGAAACGGCAAACATGTTGCACAGTCAGTGGGAAGATCCATGATTTATGAGCTCTGCTCGATCATTGTAGGAACATGTAACGACTTTTCAAACCCGCCATGTGGAACCTCGGATGCTTTTTGGATGCTTCGGTGGCCTTTTAAATCGGGGATATCTCCCAATCCCCGGTCAACCCCGTGCCTTTCACAGTTCTCGGATGGATTCCCCAGTCCCAACATATCCCAACCACTTGATGATGTAGGGCCATCTATCAATCCACATACCTGGGAAGGTTCTCGGGATAACATGCAATGTAAAAAAAACACCGGTTTCTTGGGGTTTGGCACCTTCCATACCGGGACCTGAGAAAGTATTTGGGAAAATATGGAAAAGGACAACATCCCAAATGCTCATCATATAGAGGTCGGACCCGAATCCTTTGGAGGGGTCTGCGGGTCTCAACCTCCTATGGTTTTGAGGCGGTTAGGATGTGAATGGGAGTCTGGGATGCTCCTTTCACCTTCCAGTACCCCGGATGCCCGGTCTTTCGTTTCTGTATCACAGGGGACCAGGCCGTTAGGGACTCGGCCCCAGAAGGGACTCGCGGATGGCAGGGATGCTTGGTGATAGACACCTCCTCTCTTGTGGAGAGCAACCCCAACGGAGCTGCTGGCTGGCTGGCTGGCTGTTTTTTGTTCACGAGACACGTGCACTCGATGTTCAGGTCTCGTTGTTCTGAAGCGCCGACATGGTGGTTTTGGACTTCTCTGGTCTCAGGCGGATGTCGGGTCATGCTGCATGCACGAGTCCGACATCTGCTGCAAAGCCGGAAGAACTGCACACTTCATGTACCCCAGAACTCCAGTTCGACGGTATGTCGAACCAGCAAAGCACATTCCTATAGAGACTCAGATCATCTATATATACCAGGAGTCACCCAAGTGAGTGGATGTTCTGGGCACCCCTAACCTCCATGGATCGCACCCCGTCTTGTGACTGCTGGAAGTCAGACCAATCTTTTTAAACATCTCAACCGGGACTCCCAGAGTGCAAGTCTTGCCTGAAGCCTCGAGTCTCTTCCCTGTGGACCCGTCATCACCTGTCCATCCACCATCTGAACTCAGTCCATTCATGGAAAAGTCCTTCAGCGCCACTCTCCATGCTCCACTCATCCACTCATCCAGGTCAAAGGATCCGCACCCTTTAGGTTTGTGATATGTACATTGGTGTGAAGATGTTGGCTTCGAATGTCGGATGAGGCTCAGGAATCCAAACCATCTGTGAGACTGGAATCTATGCCGCCCCAGGAAAGACCCCAGGTCAACCACCCCAATGTATTGGGGGATGGTCTGGGTAAAATCTGTTCCAGAAATCGCTGCATATGGGTGCATGCAGTGATCCTGTCCTTTTGGTCAACGTCCCAGCTCACGCGTCCCGATCGCTGGCGACGAGGCACTTCTTTTTGAAGGGCGAAGGTGGTGCACTACTTCCGATGCTGCCGCCCCCTCACAACACGCACGCCAAAGAAAGTGCAAACGCACTACCAGCGCCGCCCAAAGGGTGATCGGAAGGGAAATACATAATCATATGCAATGCATACCAGGAGTCACAAAGGGGTGGTGTTTAGTCCCATCCAGTGAGTGGGAGTAGCTGGGCACCCTTAACCTCCATTAAGCACCCCTTTGTGACTGCTGGTATATTGAAGGGTTATTATCACAATTATCAACCACCCAAACTAGCCTATTGCTGGTATGATCTGGCTGTTCTTCTTTGCCCAATGCCCACGCTTCACGGCCCTGGCCGTTCCATCCGCGGGGGTCGGTCCCGTCGAGACGGACGAAGCAAACAGGTGACCAGTACAGTGACCGGTCCTGGACCAACGGCTCCACACCGATGGCCGTTTTTCAACGAACGAATGGACACACACACACACACACACCACAAGGACCGAACGATTTCGTGCCTCCAGGGGCGCCAGGACTCACAGGCCGCAGTCGTGCATCCTGCCTTGGTTCGATCGAGGAGAGTTCGAGCTGCTCGCTGCGTACTGGGAGCGACCGAAGCACGGTTCCGTCCAAACGCTCCGCACTCGATGCCCGTGCCCAAAGGTTTGTGTCGTTCGTATAGCTTCTTGTTCGCGCCCCTAGTGGCTTCTTGTTCCTTTTGGTAGCGATGGCCTTGGAGGCCTTCGAGGCCTGCTGCCCTTCGAAAAAACCATCAAACATGCATGACATGCATCATGGTTTTTGGTAAAAGCACCATGGTTGCAGAGAAGAAGGTAAGGACAGAGTTTTCACCAACCCTCCGGTCGCCCTCCCGTCACCTGGATGTCAGGGACGCTGTGAGCACTCGGTCCGTCGCGTTTCGCCCAGTCTCGGTCGACCCCCTCCACCACGTTTGGCGCCGGGCGGCTCCTGAGTGTTGGTACGGCCACCTCGGGTGGAAGACACCGGAGAAAAGGGTGCAGAGCTTCGGAGTTCGATGAAAAGCTCTCCCCGCACCGCAGGTGCAGGTTGATCACGGACCCCCCATCACCTTGCAGGTGGTGTATTTTGCTTCGAGGGGGGTGGTTTCATTTCACACTCCGTGCATGGAAGCATCTGAAATGAAATGGTTGACCATTTCAGGCCCACACTGTTTATGGTGGATTGAGAGTACCTGGACCCTCCAAAGTACCTTAGAAAATGGAACATTACCCTATAAAAACAGGTACGACTGTACCCATTTTCTGAAGTACGAACTGAGACTCCAGGTAGATGGTACAATTCCTCAAAAAAAAGGGAAAAAGAAGACCTAAACGACATCCATGGGTTTGTGCAATCTACTCTGGAACCAATTCCCAGACACTCCATGTATGCCATATATGCCTACATTGGGGTGGTTTGAGGGGTCAATGTAGGCATATATGGCATACATGGAGTGTCTGGGATGTTTTACCCTGCACTGATGGTGCAATTGTGGGAATCAGCCCAGCTTCTTCGTGCAAAGTACCACGGAGATGCAGTTGTTTGTTGTCTGCTGCAGACTAAGAAGTTAACGGAAACGAACGCGAACAAGCCAACAAAGGCGCCCAGAGTAGGCACATCGATTACAAAAACCCTCTGATACTTTAATCTGAATCCAAGGTCATCCAAGGGCAAATCAGAACAAACCCAAACCCTGCCCAATACCTTTTGAAAGAGAGAGAGAGAGAGAGACTATGAGCAAATTTAACCAACCAATTAAATTAACCAGGTTGAACATCTTTGAACATACAATCCGGTGATTGCCGGGTCTGTTTCACCCTCCACAATTGTCAAAAACTATCAGATCCATCATCCTGAGAAGACACACTGACAAAGACTTAAACATCATCCTCCACATGTTCAAACCATGGTCACAACGAGGCATTTGTGCCTTTATGTCTATCTTTTCAAAACGCAGAAAACGAAATGGCCTGGTTGACTGACTCTCCACGATCTCATCGACATAGCTAGTGTGGCAAATGTTAACTCTAAAACCTTCAATTGCTGCATTCCTTCCATGCAAGGTCTTGGAAACGGGGAAACCTACATGATAGGAACAATCTCTGGTTCACGTGCCAACCACGTCGGAGTCCTATGTAGGACTTACCCTGAAGGTCCAATGGCTCATTTTACCCTTTACCCCACCTGGAAGTCATTATCGACCACTACCATAGGGTAAAATCAGTCACTTGGACTCTCAGGAATATACTGGACATGAGCTGGACTTGAGTGCGGGTTCCACAAGCACCCTTGTTTTGTTCGCGATCTGGTGATCCACTGTTCCTGAGTGGGGGAAACGGCCATGTTGGGTAGCGTTTCGTTCCTGCGCCAAGTTTCGTCCATGAGCAGCTTCTTCAGTTCGCAACCTTTCTGGGATCGCCAGTGACTATTTCCAACCCTAAGTGGCTTTCCTGAGATCGAAAAGGTCACTTTGAAAATCCAGGGACATTACTTTCAAATACGGTGGATCTACGTTTTTTTGTGCCTCAGGCACCTCCCAGCATCTGGTCGGCCCAAACAAACCCAGACTACACATCACCCAATCGGTCAACCATTGGATCGTGTATTTTCTCACATATGTTTTACAAAAACAAACTCGAAACGTGAATTGACTCCCTGAACACTTGACCGTTCATGTTTTGAGATAATCGATCCCTATCTTTAGAAACCAAGGGGAGACTGATCCGGAATAGGAGCTGCTGGTGAGTTGGAGCCGCTGCTGAAATAAGCATCATATCAATCATGGAAGCGGACTTCAACCAATGGCACCATGGTCCTCCTACTTGCAGGGAATGCCATCCACGGTACAGAATGCATTCTTGCAGGGAATGCCCTCCGGGTTGCATTCGAAACACCACCCTGGGAGTCAAGTAGACTATAAAAAGAATGGTCTGACGAGTAAGGGGACCTGAGTGACCCGGAACTTCCTGTACTTCAGCCGGTCCTGCTCGGAGCGGAGACGTCCCGCGGAGACCCCGCGAGACGAGACGCACCGCGGTTCCGCGCCGCGCCTTTCGGACATTCTCCGCTCTCGGAGTCGGTTGGGAGCCAAGCTTGAGCTGAGCTGAGGGAGCTGCAAATCGGCCTCATAACACCTGGGTCGAGCCAAGGGTATCTGACACCACTTAAAAAAACCATTCACCATCCAAAGCTCGAGGGTTTTTCGAGTGGGGGGTAGAATTCGGTACTCCTCCTGGAACTCATATGGGAGTGCTCAAAGAGCCCTGTTTGTAAAGGTGAGGTGCCATGTCGACCATCCACACAACCATGTTGGTTCCAGCGTGCCTGCAGGGCACCATGTGTGTTCCACACTCCAACCGCTCGGCCGTGGTCGGCCGTGAAAGGAGTCCTCTCATCGTCGCAGCCCAAACTCAAGGTGCGCAAGCCCCCCCACACAAGTCCCAAAGAATCAATTGGACCATGACACAAGCAGAAACAATATACACACCCTAGAAGTCGTGGCCCACCATTTTTTTATGGTCTGAAGAGTCGAGCTGTTTTCTATAAGGGTTTTACACTACACCAGATCAACCATGTTTAAAATGGTCGACTTGACTTCCAGGGTACAGTCATATGGCTCCTCATAACACCAGGAGACCGACCGCTTGACCGAACGAAGAGGTCGGGAGGTCGCTGCGGCAGACCTGGTGGACTGGTCGAGCTGACCAGCAATCGCTTGACCCATCCCCAGACTTCGTGAGTGATCCATCATCTTCAACTGCTAAAGCGGCTAGGTTTCAACTGCTAGCTTTAGCAGGTTTCACTATGATCCATCAACTGCTATATTTCACTTCAACTGCTTTCTTGGCGGAAGTGTCATATGCGTTGATTCTTTCCTAGGAATCTCTAGATTTGTACACCCCCACACCAGTGCCCCCGATCAAACATGAGTGAAGTGGTACCTGGTAAAATGATTTTCTCAAAAATTGTGTGGCAGAATATATGAGTGGATCTTTCGTCGACCTAAACCAATCCCACAAACAAAGGCATAGGCTGGCACCTCTCCGAGGACAATTCACAGCAAAGGTCTAACTAACATGGAAGTGGACAACCACCTGTTTGTGGTGGAAAATGGTCTTGCACGGGGCCATTATCCCCTTCCATGTTAGTTCCAGGGAGTGTAAGATTCCTTTCTAACTAACAGTCTTTCGCAGAAGCTTTCGCAGCACTTACGCCGTTACGCGACTGCAGTGGAAATCTCTTGCCGACAAAGTGTGTTTGAAAAAGCACCTTCGCGGCGCCTAATTACGCGGCACTAGCTCTGTGGTGACTGGCACAATCACATACAAGTACTTGGTATCCACCAAGCTCACCACATGAGACCCGCCCACAACAAGCATGGATGCCACAGCTCTTTGGCTTCTGGGGTAGCTCCATGACATTCCACAACTACCTCGACTTGGGCCTTCAAATCAGCATGTTGGCCCTGGACATGCCCTGCAAGAAACATATTCCAAGTTAAGCCTTACTGGCCTTATTGCTACCTACTATGGTACACTTGCTCTATGGCAGAGATTATGCGACATTATTTCTCTTGGACTCTCTTGCTCAAGGCTTTCGCAAGCTTTCGCAATCCTCAGCTTTTCTTTCGCAGAGACTATGTTACTTTTCATTTTTTGCTTGGGAGTTTTGGATCCTGCTCACATGGAAGTGGAGTGAACACCACCTGTTTTTAGAGCAACATGGTCATCAAAGGGGGGCAATTCTCCACTTCATTGACAATTTCATATCTTTCTATATATTTCTATGATTTTCTTGTCACACACATTATATAGATGCAGGCATTGTCCTGTTCAGACCATGGTACGGCTTCACTGCAAACATATTACAATACTGAGAAGTCGTTCACTGCAAATACGGAAGACAGGTGATGTGGCGCTTCTATAGGACAGGCTCGGGGTGAGATCCTGTCTCATCCAGGATCTACTATGGGAAAAGCTTGGTATATCAACATATCTAAAGAACAGCCTTTTACGCAATATCCGTTTATCAGGCTCAGGTTTCTTTTGGGTCACTATAATCATACAACCTACTACTTTGTTCATACAACATCACTTGAACAAAACACATGCTCAAAACAAACAAAACACAAACTATCCCTACAGGCAAAAACCTGAGAAGCTGCAAAACGAAAGCCAGCGCTTCCCTTTCTCGACAATGAGCTCGCGCAGCTGCTTGCGGCCGCGTGTCAAATCTGCTTCATGTCTTGTTCTGCCCACACAGAGGTAACCATGTCAAAACAAAAACCTGCGCTTCCTGGCAATTGAGGGATTCGGTGTCATTTTGCCCGGAAATTTCCTCTGCACAGGGGGGGGGTTTGGATGGAATCCGATGTTTTAGGCCGTAGCCAAATCTATCCACATTGACATCATTTGGTGTCTGGACATGGAATGGGAGGTCTCACTGTGGGAAGTGCAGCATGGCCACATGAACGGGACTTGCTTTACAGGTTGACACTGGATCTGATCCACTAAGGTTGAGCATGACCCTACCTATGGTCTGGTTTTCACCAACTATTGCTGGGTGCTCGATAATTGACATCACCGGTTCATCATTGCACCCACAAGTGTGATAGACCTTCAGAAATGGCCAGTGAGCAATGGAGATACCAAAAAGTCCAAGGGGTACACTGTGTACACCGATTGAACTAATCATAGAAGTGGAAAACCACCTGTTGGGGCTATGCCATCCACTTCTATGCTTATTTCGGGGAGTGTGCACCTAGACATACCGCCTATAAACCCTAAGGGTTGGATTATGGAAATATATTGCATATGGACCCTTGACTGACCTTCCAAATCCTCACCTGAGTCCCCTTCAGGTGTCCACAGTCGACCACCCTGGCGCAAGCAGAAGCATGCCCACAAGATTGAATCCAGCCCTTGAACGTGCCCAAAACTAAGGTCAGGCAGGTGGCTTATTTAGTTTAGTTGCTATACCTCTTACACACCTACACAAGTTCAAAGCACGAATGCGACTTCAAAGCTGTGGATTGCTGCGCGTGTGTAGAGGCTATCGAGCGGTTGACGGAAAGGGAACTTGAAGTACTATACCTGGTAGCTGCAAGAAAGGTGCCAACTACACCTTTATTTTCAAGGTGGCCTGAACAGAGTGT